CGGCTGAGCCCTTCTTCGAGTTATCGTCCGAAAGAGCGAAGAGAAGACTTGGGGAATTGTATGGAACAAGTGTGCCAACTAGAAGCACACTCGTGACGTAGAAGACCAGGATTCGGTAGAAGGTCAATTTGATGGCGCGGGGGATCGTCTTGCGAGGGTTTTGTGCCTCGCCGACTGTCACTCCGACCAGCTCAGTGCCCAGGTAGGCGAAGGTAGCGGACACCATTGTGGACCAGAAAGCCAAGAATCGACCGGGTGCTCCCTCCATCTTGTAATGGTTGAAAGCACCTGGGCTCTTCCAGTAGCGGAAACCCTTACGGTCATGGTCTGGTCCACCACCAAGCATGAGAATGAAGGATAGGAGGATGATGCCGAGGATGACAACGACTTTGAAGGAGGACAGCCAGAATTCGAATTCACCAAAGAACTTCACACCGAAGTAATTGATGGCGACGACAAGTACGAGGAAGATGGTAATCCATACTCCAGCGTTTACCTTCTCTGGGGGTACCCAATATGATATGACCAGTGCACCAGCAGTCATTTGATTCGGTGATAGAATGATATATTTGAACCAGTATCTGGATTCGTGTGAGCGAGATCATGTCGAGGGGGATGGATAGTACGTACGTCCAACCGAGTGTAAAGCCGAGTGCAGGGTCAACAAATCGGACGGCGTAACCAGTGAAACCAGAGGGCAATGGCAACCAAGCCGCCATCTCTCCAAGAGCACACATAACTAGGAAAACGATGAAACCAACCCAAGCATAAGAAATGAGAATGGCACCAGGCTATTCAAATTAGTAACGATATTCAGGTTTTAAATTCGGTGCAAATACTCACGCCAGCCCTAAATGAAAATTTGTTAGCCTTGAATCTTTCGATAAAAATGTCTAGAGCAACTAAAGATCACTCACTTTGCAAGAGCTTCTCCCGTTCCAATAATCAAACCAGTACCAATAGCACCACCGATGGCTGTGCACTGTCAGCACGTGCTTGTTTCTAACCAACAACTTCACCTACCAATCATAGTAATATGTCTCGCCTTGAGCGCACGCTGCAGCTCAACATGGTTGGGGTCATTCAGCCCACTCTGAGCCCCTTGTTCAATCTTGCCATCCTCACTGAACTCCCTTGTGACAGCGTGGTCCGGGTATTCCTCGGTCTTGGTAAACTTCTCCATTGTGTGTTCGACGCGCAGAGGTTTGCGCTGACGAGGAAAAAAGCCCAGTGAAGAGATAAAAGTAATCCCAGATGTAAGACCAGGAAAATGGGGGGCGAGGAGGGATTAAATGGGAAGCCAAGAGCGGAAAATACACAGCCCTGGAGAGAGATAAGCAGCAGGGAAAACAAGATGACTGGAGGCTTGAGGGAAATACAATCAAAATAAGATACGTGACCTTGGGAAGACCTCGGGACTAGCTTAGCCAAGGCTTTTTTTTTATGGGGTAAAATAATTTAAAACACCTCAGACCACACATACATAGTTCACCTAGCTTAGAGATCTTCCTGAAAGGGGTTGGCTGTTTGGGGTTTTCGGGGAGTACTGGTACAACAAGGCCGTATTCATGAAATAGGGCTGTGTTTCTGAATTTCAATGAGGCTCTAGATCTCTCGAATACAGGGATGTACACTGTATACAGATGTACTCTCCCCTGTATCAGATACGTCTAATTATCAAAGCTTGAAATGTAACAGATACTACTCCAAGGGAACATAGAGTAAAGCGGAGACATTGGCGCCAAGATCGGACACTATGGGCCTCTGCGGGGAGCGCTTTTCATCGGCATTCGCCGGAGAATTTTAGGTTGCCCCATTCCCCCAGATTTTCGTTGATATGAAGCTTTTTAGTCATGCACATTTGATATGGATGTTGGAATTACAATGTTTACTTGTTTTACAGAGCTGATGTCGATCCAAAAAGACACAAAAAGCAAACAAAACCACATATCTTTGACTCAGCCACCCGACTGATAGCCCCATTCGCAATAAAAGCCCTTATCAAGCCCAACCCTAAACGGTATGTGTAGCCATCCATTGCCAAGACGGAATTTCACCTTGGCCCGTGAACACTAAACTCAACTCGGGAGAGATGCACGTTTTTGAGGCTGGGCATCTGTGCCAAGACCATTCGCGTATGGTGCAGCCAATCCTTATCTCTCTTGGCGGGTGCCCGGATGCTCAGCATGGCCTGTTCGTATCAAGTTTAATCTATAGAGGAAATTTTGGCTAGCAGGGGTTGACGCGGAATATTTTTCTGGAAGGTTGTTGGGTTGTGGCGAGGACTTGGTAGGGTTACCCCGGTGGCTTTGGTCAAAGGCTGCACAACATAAGGTAAATACGAGGCGTCAGGCCGCGGATTTTCCTCGATCTCTACCTCGTCCTCCGTGCCTACAAAGTATATTCCATAAATACCCCATAATTTTGCCGAAGATGTTGATCCTTTTGGCTTCTTCGATTTTTAAACTCTGCATGTGTCGACAAATTGTCACAGTGCTTATCTTGCGCTTGTTCCTAGGGGGGTTAAGATCTCTCGTTGGTCGCATGATCTGTTCCTACATTGTAGTAGTTCAGTTCTTCCATTTCCTCTAGAACAACTATCATTACTCACAATAATATAACATTGTGCCTTTATGATCTTACCTACTAGATTGTAGATCCTAACATAGTGGACTCCACATAAAGACCTACAGTCGTTCTCGAAATCGGCTTGACCAATGCACTGTGAGTAACTCTTTCCTAGTCCCACCACTCAGGCTTTAACCCAGATCATTTATTGAGTAACCTTTGTATATTATAGTATCAAGTCATCGATATACAAGTCTAGTTATAGGAGAGCCACTACTGCCTTATCTCCATAGATCTACCTAGGGTTCTAGCCCCGTCTCCAAGACAACGCTGCTTCAGGCATTTTACATGGACAATCAGACCTAGTGTCCGTCAAGAAGAGTAACATTTTTCCCACCAAAGCGCACATACTAGCTGGCTAATATGAACTAAGGCATGACTATTCGCCTTGAGGGTAGGTTTATATTTCGAGCAAAATTGGGCATAGGTCTCTCGAGGATCTATTGATGTGAGCTCACCATTTAGCATTGGACGCTGGCTTAAGAGGGGTTCAACAGCCACCAAGGTGTCAGATGGGAACACTTGACAACGTAATACTCGTGTGTTGTTCATACAGATAGTGTATTACGTATTTAACGCGGACTTTTGGCTCAAAATCTCACTAGTATTTCCTTTACTAAAAAAGGTTCAAAGGCAGCACAAGTTTATTGTATCAGATCCTAACACACTGTGGGAACCAGGAGGGTAACTCTATATTGTTGTTGTCATTTGTACAAAGGAAATCCTTTTGGCAAGCAAACATTTAGGAGAGTCTTAATATATCACTAACGTTTGAATAATGGAAACCAAGAAAATATACAGCATTTAAACCGCAAACAGTACCCTACTAAAGCTATACTGTCTAGTTTTTGGTTTGAAGACCTTGAACAACAGATAGTTCTAGTAGACCAGGCGAGATCTAATATGTTGCTAGGGTACTTCCAAGGTGCCAAAATTGGGAAGGACGTGATGTAAGGATGAAAACGGCGTATACTCTGCCTCAACCAGGGCCTCGGTGCCGGTTTCTCCGTTAAATTTTTGGCTATACATCCAATAATATCCAAAGCTGTGTTATTGTCTATTGGCATCATATGACGGGTTATTCCACAGCCGTGTGTTGATTAAACGGGAAAAGAATCGTGATTATATCTCTCTACTACCGTCAGGTGAATGTTAGAAGTGACGTCAACATTACAGTTTTCTGTTAGACTTACCGTACATTACCTGTTCCGAAATCTTAGACACCGGCACGACCCGTGGGTGATCTGTGGGCCCTCAAACTTGACAAGTACATAAATCTGTATGTTTTACGTAGATTTTGGCCGTATTTTTTAGTATCTAGTTTACACATTAGGGCTAGATATTAGCAGCTGAAAAAGCAGGTATATTTAGGCTTATAGAGAAGGAGGTACATCACAGAACTATTATCAGGTAACCTCGAATCTATATACAAATCTTGAACGCTTTGAGTTCTGTCTGGGAATACCAAGAGCTATCTCACGAATTTCGCGGACCAATACTAGCGTTGGTTAATGTATGGAAGGATATGATGATTATAGCTATTTCAAACAACCGTACGTCTGATAAGTACTCTACGCCCGGACGACTACCTTTCTTTGATACGGAGCCTAGCCCGACAGATCTGCTAACTGCCCCCCACTCATTGGTCCATTCATTCCAATGTGCTACTCGCAGAGATTAAACATTTTTAGCTGTTCTAACTGTTTTATTTTTATTTTTAGGCATTTTAACCAGCATGTTTCAATGTATCGAATAGTTAACACAGCACCAAGTCCCAGGTTTAGTTCAATTAGCTAAATAGTTGTTCGAGACCCTCATCGAACTATTTGGTGTGGCAACAAATTTGGGGTTTTGGCGGGCTCGTTGTCACGCAAGTGCCTAGCCCTTTGCAGTCCAAATCCGGGGAACGCCACATGGCATGTCGATCATCCGAGATTACAACCTAAACACTTCATTTTGATTCATGTTGACCCAAGGCGGAGTATAAATCGGCCAGCTCCACCTTTCCTCAGTTTTCCCCGCCCTTTCGCCTCAGATCAGGTAACAGCTCCGCATGCGGACATGTAAAACGTTGTCCTTTAGAAATTACTTAGACCACCGACTGGTTGTTATCTCGTGTCCCGAGGACAATGAAATAATTTACGTCATGATTAACAAATACAATTTTTAGTATTGAAACTGGATCTTCACACGAGTCTGAGTGGCTCTTAAATGAACGACACGGTTGGGCTCTGTGACCGAATATAAGTATGTGGATTGTTGATGCGGAAATGTGAGCAAAAGAGAATTATATTCTCTCAGACAAAGAGAACTTTGGTACTCTTTTACTTTATATTGGTATACCGTGCAGCAATACAATACAAGTCATTATTATGTCTCTCAAATCTAACGATGAGAGCGATGAGATTACCGCTCAACAGACAATCCAAGGCTGGTTTAAAGATATCAGGAGTCAACTAGGCCGCATCCCTGAGGATCTCAGCGTGCTGAACGGCCTCGTAGGGGCTGCTTTGACCGATGGGACGGTCGATGACCGAAAGTAAATGCTACTGTTGAGCCCAGAATTCGACAATGCGTGTTACAAATTCTGACGTTCTTGGATAGATATTTAGTATGTGTCCTCGCCGTTCATGTCTCCATCACCGGCTGATATTATCGCCACGCAGCTCGAAAAGATTATCCAGCTCGCCTGCTCGTTGCCGCACGGATCCCCGGGCGAGAAGAAACTGACAGGAGAATTACTTGATATTCTCTGGACTAATCTAAAGCATCCGCCTCTTTCGTATATGGGTGCTGACTGGAAGTATCGTACTGCCGATGGATCAAACAATGTAGGTCTATTTCCAGAAGCCTCCCATTTTGGTAGCTATGTATCTCATCACCATCTCCCTCTAGAACATTCTATACCCAGACTTGGGCAAGGCAGGATCGGCATATGCCCGAAGCGTCGTGCCGCAGCATGCTCCCCCAGCTGCCCTTCCCGATCCAGCCTCCATCTTTGATGGTAAGAAGCTTGAATAGTCTGTTTAGTTACGGCTATACAAGTGCTAAGACTTTCCCAGCTCTATTCGCTCGGAAAGGACCTGCTCGTGAACACCCAGCCAAGTTCTCAAGTTTGGCAATTGCGCTAGCGACGATTATCATACATGATATCTTCCGCACGGATGATGTCGACCCTAGCAAGCATGCTTCCTCGGCTTATTTGGACCTCGGCCCCCTTTACGGTCACAATGCTGAGCAACAAAAGTCCATCCGTACATTTCAGGATGGCAAGATCAAGCCAGATGCATTCGCAGAGCCTCGACTTTTGGGACAGCCTCCAGGGGTTTGTGCTCTCATCGTGTCCTTCAATCGATTCCACAACTATGTAGTCCAGCAACTAGCGTTGATAAACGAAGCTGGTAGGTTTAGTGTTCCGGTAACCGTTGACCCTCAGAATAAAGCCGCGTATGAGAAGGGCCTGGCAAAACGTGATAACGATCTTTTCCAAACGGGAAGGCTGTAGGTTATCATTCTCTTTAGAGCTATTCTTCTAAACGAACAATGCTGATACCAATTTTATAGTGTTACTTGTGGACTCTACGTCAATATAATTCTCCAAGATTACGTGAGAGTCATTCTCAATCTCAACAGGTTGGTTGATAAGGCGAGGCACCGTCGTTGGTAGAAACTGTACTGACTTTTAATGTTTTGAACAGATCAAATACTCAGTGGAACCTTGATCCTCGTGTCGACTCGGTCAATATTTTTGACCCCGCAGGCACGCCGAAGGGTATTGGTAATCAGGTCAGCATTGAGTTCAACCTGATATATCGATGGCATGCTACAGTCAGCGATAAAAACGCGAAATGGCTTGAAGGCTTCTTCGATAAAGTATTCCCAGACATCGACCCGGAGACGATAACGCAGGCGGAGTTCATGAATGGCTTAAGAGCTTGGGGCCATGGTATTGATCCTGACCCAGGTAAATGGACATTCGGGGAGTTGAAGCGTACAGCTACTGGGGCCTTTGATGACGGTAGTCTCGTCGAGCTATTGACGGAGGAGACCGAGGATGTCGCCGGCGCATTCGGCGCCCGAAATGCAAGTTAAACACCCTGGAATCAACTAGGTATTCTCTTAGCTGATTTATTTTCAGATTCCTGCCATTATGAAGGCCATCGACGTGCTTGGAATTAACCAAGGCCGGGCCTGGGGAGCAGCAAGCCTGAATGAAGTACGGAAATTTTTCAACCTCAAGCCCCACGAAACGTTCTTGGAGATCAATCCGGACCCCGATGTGGCCGCTTCATTAGAAGCACTTTATTCGCATCCAGACAACGTTGAGCTGTATCCTGGGGTTTCAGTAGAGGACACCAAGCCTCCACTGGTACCGGGATCTGGGCTTTGCAGCGGCTTGACCATTGCCAAGGCCATCCTTTCGGATGCTGTTGCCTTGGTTCGGGGAGATAGGCGAGTTCAGGATGCCTAAATGTCATGGCAATCGCTAATAGTATCACAGATTCTATTCGGTAGACAACAGTCCGGCGAACCTCACCGCATTTGGATCGGCCCTGATTGCTTCCGATCTCGATGTTGGTGCTGGGACGGTTATTCACAAACTTTTCATGCATGCGTACCCAGGATGGTACCGCGGTGATTCTGTGTATACCCTGTTCCCATTAACTATCCCCAGTGAAAACCGGATGATTGCGGAGGATCTGGGTAAGAAGAATGACTACACCTACGATCCGCCCAGCTTTGCGCCTCAACCAATACCCGTAACGACTTGGCAAGGCGTAATTGATATCCTTAATGATCAGGTGAACTATAAGGTCCCTTGTATGTTTGGAAACCCCTATGACTGTCTTTATCATCGCTAAACACACAAAGGGGGACCCCACGTTTACGAACTGATCCATCACGATTGGGTAGGACACAGCCGGTCCGATATTTTCACTCTTGAACTAATTTGATTCCTCTCCAGATGCTCAGCGGAGACAAACCATGGAATGCGGAGCAGAAGAGCTATTGCCAGCGTGCCCTTTCCGGACCCTCCAAAGGGCTCGACCAGATTCGTGACTATTACAGAATTGTGACTGAAAAGCTTATCCGGGAAAAGAGCAACAAGATGCGCGATGTCTACCAACTTGATGCTGTCCGTGATGTGGGAAATCTGTCGCACTCCATCGTTGTCGCACGGATCTTCAATATCCCAATTAAAGAAAATGGCGGCGTGGGCACCGTGACGGCCAGACAACTTTATGACGCAATGGCGGCGGTCTTTGCATATACTTTCCTCGATATCGATCCGGCAAAAACTGAACAACACAGGGCTGTTGCCAAAAGAGCAACCACGATTTTACAAAAGCTCATCACACCGGCAGTTGAGGCTGTGAAAGCCGAACGGTTCCACACGCTGAAAGAGATAATGGGGATTAGTGCGGACGAATCGACACTACCCGACTATGGAACGCACTTGGTCCAACGGTTATTCGAGGGCGGCAAGAGCGTCGACGAGGTGATCTGGACGATTGTTCCAACGGCATCTGCCGCAAGTCCAGTTCAAGGCCAAGCGGTAAGTCTGTTTTGTCCAGTCTCTCGGTTCGAACAACGAATGTTCTATTCACTTGCGCATCTCACAGACTTCTGACAGATAAACCAAAACAGTTCGCGCGCCTCCTGGACTTTTATCTGTCTGAGAACAAAGGCCATTGGGCAGAGATTCAAAGGATTGCCTACCAGGATACCCCGGAGGCATTCGAGAAGCTGCGTAAGTACGCACTAGAAGGATTGCGCCTAGCGACACCCGCATTCGGGGTCCTTCGAGACGTGAGCATCGAGAAAGCCACTGTCGTCGATGGGGAGAGGCAAATTCCAGTGAAAAGGGGCGATACTATTTTTGCCGACTTCGTCACCGCCAATGTAGACCCAAAAGCCTTCCCAGACCCGCTGGAGATCAAACTTGACCGCCCCGATAGCTCTTACATTCACCAAGGATATGGTGGACACACTTGTCTCGGTCGACCTATCGTCATGATCTCTATGGCGGTGCAATTGGGTGCCTTTGCCAGACTGAAGAACTTACGTCGCGCTCCAGGGCCGGCCGGACAACTGAAGGCTACAACCATCAACGGGGCATTCCAAGTATATATGAATGAGGATTGGTCGGAGTGGACGCCCTTCCCTACCAATATGAAGGTTCAATTCGACGGATTTTAAGGGGGCCGTTGGCTCATGCGATGATATTTACTGTCGGAATTGAAGAAAGTCCTTTGAAAAGCACATGATTACTTATATAACCACACTGCCATAACTAGTTACAAATTGACTGTGTTTGATTCTTTTAACAATCCAGTGTTGTTTCCATCCAATTGGCTACTATAGAGTACTCGGAATACGGTATTCCTCGATTTCCAACATTATCCGGACACCCTCTCCCCAACCACAAAAATTATTACAACGTAAAAAGGGTATAACAAATATACAGTAAAGACCATCGACAGACGCGCATGAACCTTGATCAAGTCGGGGCCGACCCCGATATTCAGATAACGCTAAAGATTGTAGGAAACAGAAAATCGCGCTTGGTGGGTGTTCATTCAGGATAATCGAGCAAATTAAGCTCAATTTAAGTGATGGCGATATGATCTAGAGCATGCATAGGTGACGTGGAGGATGATAGCCCCTAGCCAGCAATACATTTACAAGCCAATCAGGCTTTAGTTGGGGTCACACCGATACAGAGAAGGAGGCTCGTGGGAATCGGGCAGGATTCAGCCTCATGAATATGCCCGAAGAATCGAATCTCCGGTTAGATCGGTTATTCATTCGCCCACAATCAAGAATCACAGATGCAGGTTGCGACCCGCAGCGCTTCGATCCATGGCTAGCAATTTAGCTTTGGAAAAGCGAATTCATGTTACCTCATAAGGACTCATATTTGAGGGGGTGCGTAGTCACTGTATGCAGGTCTAGCGCAGTTGGCTTGAGAGAACAAAGGGTTTGGCTGGGTTCTGCCTCTCACATGTGAGAATCAGCCGCTGTGTTCAGCCTCGTGGGAGCGACGCATATCCCGGGTCGGGTTTAGGGGGTGAAATAGTGGAGGTGGGTCTATGATGGTGTAGTTAGGGGGATTGGATAGAGGGGGGATGGCTCGTATTTACTTAACTAGGCGGCACCACCGAGAGGACATGCACAATGCCGACCCCTGTCATTCGACATTCGACAGAGGACAGTTCATGCTATGGAGTAGATAACATTGTGTAGGCAGTGACCGAGGAAAGACAAGCCAGTCAACATCTCATAATATCCGCTGTTGCTTCGAAGCTAGTGCAGCTAGTGCAAGCTACCGTTATCAGAGCAGGTTCCTGTAAAAACGTCCGAAGCTAGCAGCTGGGAGACATTCTCAACCTGTCGATGAAAGTCAACGTTACCAACACCCTGGATGGTGGAAATGTGATTGAGGTGCTTCGGTGGGGGCTATTTGGTCTACAAATCCAATGTTTTGAAAATGTGCTGTGGCGTGCATAAGTGCGTTAGGGCAGCGATCAATGGAGGCCGTTTATTGGGTGGTGAACGCCGCAGCGGTTACAAGTATTTTTTATATTTTTATCGCGCTGATCGGAGGATTGTGATTCGTGCAATGAAGGTGGAATTTACTATCATTAGAAATATGAAATAGTAGTTAATTTGACTGTTTTCCATGTTAAGACCTGAAGAGATGCGGGGGAATTGATGGTTAATCCTCCTGTCGTCCCCTATATCTCAGGGGTCTGGTGGCAGTCGAACATCTAGAATCATTCAACTTCCAACCCTTCAACCAAAAAAAGGGGTTTCCCCTAATTTGTATATCTCAAATCAATTCACCAATATCATGGGTGTTATGCGTCTCCCCCGCCCAACGGGCATCTATGTCCCCAATTCACCAAGAACCCTCACCAACGAAATGATCTCTCCACCACTCTCTCCAGAATTCAGCTTCGATTCTGAGACCGTCACACCCTCTCTCCTCCCAGCTCTGGAATACATCTCCTCCAAACTCCAGCAAAGAATGATGCACGTCACCCTCCTCATCGGCCGTGGAAAGCCCTACCCGACCGGCCAACCCTCCGACCTAATGATTATCCCCATCCACCCAATCGAGCCGCAAGCATGGCGAGTACTTGAACGGGCCATTTTCAAAGGCTCGAGGAAGTTCTCACTCGGCCCCAGCTGGACCGACGCCATCAGCCGCAGCCAGTATGAGCGCCAGGCAAACGATCACCTCGTCAAGCAATCCATCCTCCAAAACGAAGTCATCTTCAGCCAGGAGGGTCTAACTCTTCTGAACATGGACCGTATCTATACCTTCAAGCGTCGCATGTGTATCCTCTCCACCCGCCCCTTCTCGCGCGACGACGAACAGTCAATGTCATCCTGTGTCCGCCTACTCCACCGCATCGTGAAGGATTTCTCCGGTCGCCCCTTCAGCAAAGCTTTCTTCCACCGGGTCTATGAACAGCTCGATGTTCCGGATGAGCAACTCACTGCCGTCGCAGTTGCGTACAAGAATGCCCACAACGAGGACGCTATCATTCTTCCCGTCTTGGCAAAAGCTCTAGCTCCAGCTCCAGTTCCAGTTCCAGCGCCAGCACCATCACCAGTTCCGGCCAAAGTCGAAGCCGTTGTTCCAGTCAAAGTTGCAGCAAAGGTACCGGCCAAAGTCCAGGCAAAGGCCCAAGCAAAGGTCCAACCGAAAGCTGCCGAGAGAGTCATTTTGAAGCCAAAGGCTGATCCCATCCCTATCCGGGTGAAGGCCGAACGCCCTCGTGAAGTGAAGAGATCGCCCATCCAGACTGTCCGTGGTCGGAGACAGCCTCCACCGTCGAAGATGCGAGGCCAGAATAAACGTGGGCCCAAGACGCCTCTTTCGGCATCGGATGTTACTCCAATCACGCGGAATGAGTGGAATATTCTTGTCAGCCAGGATATTCGTGTGCAGCCTAAGGTTACCAAGTGGGTTCCGTCACCGACTGTGTTGGCCGTGGCTTGAACTTTTTTTTGGGTTGGTTGACGTACAAAACAATTCACTGTTATATCTATAACAAACCGCCAATCTTTATCAGAAGGACTGGGTCTCGCTTACGGCTCACATTCCATCCCCAAACTTGTTGAGTTTGGTTGAGCTAGACGATAAAGGCACAGACGAGAACTACACCTAGCCCGTGTTGCTAGATTATCTCCATGTCTTCCCCGTATCTGATTCCATCAATGTTGGACCTTCATAGGCCATTTTGGTCAGGGACAGATTGACCTTGACATACCGGGTGCAAGAAAGAACCCGGTCTCTGGACTGGCACCAAGCACTCCTTGGCATCTTAATGATGATATGATAATGATTTCAAAAGCTTCTAATCATGGATGGATCTTGGCAGGAAATTCCAAATATTGCGAGATTCAATTCAGGGTGTATATAGTCCACTTTGAAGAAATTCATACAAAATTTTAATGAACCAATTAAAAAACATCCAAATGTCAAGTATCCATGGATAATCACACCCAGTCAACCAACCCGAAAACAATCAAATTATCCACAGCCCTATATAAACCTTGGATGCTGTTGAGATGAAGCGGCATTCTAGTTTGCCGAGCAGCAATATGGCCGGCCCCGCTTAAACTCGGCGACCGGCGAACTGAGCCAGCTACGCATCCAATCACAGACACGGGAAATGATTTATAGTGGGTATCGAACATTTAAAAATTAAAGTATTGAAGCTATTAGCATATGAGAATCCAAGCTGTGAATAATCCTTGGAGGTTTCCTATCAGCATCGGAACTCGCCGCTACTCTACATAGCACAACGCCATGGGACTTTGGATGGGATGTGGATATTCATGACCTCTCGAACACTCCGGGATTCGGCTAAATCATGCAGGATCCTCCATGTGCACACACGGGAAGGGAAGGGTTGCCCGAAAGGACATCCCAGGCTTGAATATACCTGGATGTATGTAGGCTTGGCAGAGTCGGGGCTTGGCGGGGTTATCTAAAAGTTTAAGATCAGCAAGCGTATAGGAACCCCTCTTCTGTGCTTTTTTCTACAGTCTTTTAAAGCTCATCTCTTTATATCTCCAAGAGAAATTTAGATATTGTTACAGAAATTTGGTCTGACGATATCCATTATGTCGACATTCAATGAGCCTGCAGATATAGATTCGCATAGTCTAGACAGCGACCGCAAATGGAGTCTGCAGCCTCTTCTTCGCAGTGCGGAGCGCTCGCATAGCAAGATGCCGGGTATTAGGAAAATTCCTCTCCGCGCCATTGGAATTATTGCGTTTATTGCTTTGTTGAATATTATAGTTTGGGTGGCGGCGGCTATTGTGCTGGTATGTTTCGATGTAGGTTGTGTGACATTGGATTGATTCGCTAATGCTTATATAGAGTTACCATCCGTGAGTCTTCATTGTTGGATATCTTATATTTCGACGTTCATGTATGTCATGTACTAAATTCCAAGAAAAACAGTTCGCTGGTCTCTACAGCTGCCCTAGCCTATTCTCTTGGATTGAGACATGCATTCGATGCAGATCATATTTCTGTATGTCGAATCTAGTCTGGAAACAGACCAAATTATTAACAATGCTGTCTGTAGGCTATCGACCTAATGACCAGAAGACTCCTGGCAACGGGACAAAAGCCCGTTACCGTGGGCACGTTCTTCTCGCTTGGTCACTCAACGTGAGCACATTTTACCTCATTCTATGTCAAATGAAATCTAACCTTGTCCAGAATCGTGATCATCACATCTATTGTTGTCGCAGCCACAGCAGCGGCAGTCTCTGATCGCTTCGACAGCTTCAGCACCGTCGGTGGAATCATTGGTACCTCCGTCAGCGCTGCCTTCCTGATCCTGCTTGGTCTGATGAATGCGTACATCTTGTATAAACTCGTCAAGCAGATGCAAAAGGTCTTCAGTCTCCCCGAGGGCCATGAGGATGAAGCGTGGAAGATCGAGGGTGGAGGAATCCTTTTCTCGGTCTTGAAGAAGATGTTCAAGCTGATTGACCGGTATGTTCTTTGGTCGAGGTATTGATGTGCTGCATGTTGACAAAGATATCTATTGTTTAGTCCGTGGAAGATGTATCCCCTCGGAATTCTGTTCGGTCTTGGCTTCGACACCTCCTCCGAGATCGCTCTACTTGGAATCTCATCCATCGAAGCAGCAAAGGGAACATCCTTCTGGGTGATTCTCATTCTCCCGGCTCTATTCACAGGTGCGTATCTTATACAAGCCCATCAATTCCCTCCAGCTCTGACACCCCCCAGCCGGTATGTGTCTCCTCGACACAATTGACGGAGCCTTGATGTTTTCCCTCTACATCCAACCAGCGGCCAACTTCATGCCGCAAAAGCCAAGAAGCACCATCTCAGACACCTCGTCAACGGCCACCGATCCAGATGAGCTCCCACAATCGCACAACAACCACCGTGACCCAGTTGCATTCCTGTACTACTCAATCGTGCTGACCACGCTAACTGTCATCGTGGCGATTGTGATTGGCGTGATACAGCTGCTTAGTCTTATTCTGAATGTCACAGATGCCAAAGGCAAGTTCTGGGACGGTGTCCAGGTCGCTGGTGACTACTACGATGCTATTGGCGGCGGTATCTGTGGTTGCTTTATTGTCTTCGGTCTGCTGAGCGTTGTAGTCTACAAGCCATGGCGCAGGTGGATGGATCTGCGACATGGAAAGAATGTCGTCAATGATGTGGAGGGGTATAGAGATGATGATGATTCTCCTGATGACGCTCCTGATGCTGGTTTCATTGTGACTGAGACGACCGGTCGTACTCAGGATGATGGTACAGCTACTGGGGTTTCTGGGAAGGGGGGTTCATCTCGCATTGCTATCAAGGAGACTGGTGAGCCGAGACTTGAAGACCACATCGTGTAGGTGTTGCTATATCCTAGCTAGTATAATCTAGTGATACCCTTGAAATGCAAGTGTTCTTAATATCTATCTATCCCTCGTGATGTAGACTCTACAGGTGTAGGTACCCAAGTAAGCACCTTCCGAAGCAGGGGAATTTGCATGTACTGCCTGAAGATAAACCTTCCAAGGTGGGAAGGTGCGTGAGTCTCTGCCCGTTTACCTTAGCTCCTTCCCTTTGGGTCAACTTGTCTCCCACCGCAGTTTCCCGCGAGCCTTGAGCCAGCCATTGAAAAGGTATAAATACCCCCTCCCCCCCCCCGTTTCTCTCTCTTTTCTTTTCTTCCTTCACATCTCTTCTTTTCTCTGGGTCTCCACTTCCACTTTTCAAGGTTTCACCTTGCACCTTCCGTCATGGTCACCTTCCACCATGGACCTTCCACCTTGGTCACCTTCCATCACGGTCACCTTCCATCATGACCCCATCCACCATGGTCACCTTCAATCATGGTCACCATCCACCTTGACCCCATCCACCATGGACCTTCCACCTTGGTCACCTTCCTCCATGGTCACCTTCAATCATGGTCACCATCCACATGGTCACTTTGAACTACATGCATTCCTTGTAACGCCCCTTTATTCCTCCCAAAAGACGAATCTCGCTGACTAGTTTTTAGTAATGTTCATACCCTCCCCATCCACTTCAATCAACCACCCACTTCAATCAACCATCCACTTCAATCAACCATCCACTTCGATCAACCATCCACTTCGATCAACAACATCCACTAGTCTGACCGTGGCGGGCTTCGGCTTCAGGACAATCGGCAGACTGGTCAACCACCCACTTCGATCAACCATCCACTTCAATCAACCATCCACTTCGATCAACCACCCACTAGTCTGACCGTGGCGGGCTTCGGCTTCAGGACAATCGGCAGACTGGTCAACCACCCACTTCGATCAACAACATCCACTAGTCTGACCGTGGCGGGCTTCGGCTTCAGGACAATCGGCAGACTAGTCAACCACCCACTTCAATCAACCACCCACTTCGATCAATAATATCCACCAGTCTGACCGTGGCGGGCTTCGGCTTCAGGACAATCGGCAGACTGGTCAATCATCCACTTCAATCAACCATCCAATTCAGTCCACCATCAAGTTCAGTTCAGTCAACCATCCATCTCCATCAACCACCAAGTTCAATCAACCATCCATTTCGATGAAACCAATGACCATCCAGCAACCGGAGACCGTTCCGGTCGACAGGCTTGCAGTGAAAGCGCTCCGGCCGGTAGTTTGAATACCACCCACTATGAGTTGCCTCCAGGCAAACCAACAACCGGGTGTGGCCTCGAAAAGCGACTCGGACGTCAACGGCTTCTCGCCAACTGCACATCCTTTTGCCCCTCATGTTCCCCCTCCTTTCAATCACCACTTCACTTCAGCTGCCATGCTCTCCACCAGCCCTCACGTCAATTCTTGCGCCCAAACCTACAACAAAACGGTATTATCAATCTTCTTGATTGAACTTCTTCTTACTAGTGTCTACCGCATATCCCATCCCAACAACCATCCATGCCGTCGCCTGCTCCTTCCACTCTCAACGAGAATAGAAATCAAGACATCAATACCAATATCGGTCCCTACACGACTCCAACAACAAGAAGCTCAAGCCAAAACGTCATTACCTATTCCAAAGCCCAACGACGGAGCTCATACAGGCTCATTCTCGCAGCCAAAATCCAACCCATCAACTCAGGCCACCGCAGGATCAAACTCTACAGCCAAAAAACTACAAGCTAAATCTTCCACACATCTACCTCAGGCTTGACTGGTATTACAGGACGCACACAAAATTGGGCTTTCCAGGATTCAATATCTGCGCAGCAAGGTTGGACGTGAGGGCTACTTCATTTCCTACATTTGAGGATTCCTTTTGCATTGTTCCAAGCTCCTGGAGGTGTGTTCACAGAAAAAGGAAAAACAAATCATCCCATGTCTCATACCTCCATAGCATTCTGTTCTCACAGGACAATTCATAGAACGCAGATCAGTAAGGAACTTTCATGGCCATTGTTTAATTTCATGTAACAAGTTAGTCTTCCAAGTAATTGATCAGTACCGGCTTTTCTTCAACTCCAATATCAACTTTTGTCTCCATATAGTAGGGTACTAACTATGAGGTCTCCCGAGGTCGTATTTTAACTTTGGAGCTTCCGCATTTTTATATAAATCGGTGCCTTAGGTGTCACGCCTGTGACGTCAATCCAATCTCCCGAGATGTCCTTTTAACACAGCTTCAGCCAAAGTCAAAATGAGATGTGATGAACCTGCCTGTACAAGATTGAATATTTGAGGTGTCTATCTCACTTGCTCGCCTTGAAACCAATGTTTATCGTAAAGCATCAACGCCAGCAGAAGAATGAGCACCCTCCCTTGTAAGACCCTTCTCGCGTATATGATGATTTCACACCATAGATCTATCAAAAGCCCATTTTTCTGGATCTATTAACGAGCATGGTCGCCGATTTGACCTCCTCTTTAGGGAACAAGACAGAACATGTTTCCATCTTCTCATCCCAACCACCCATCTTCATTTTGCCAATGCATCTCTCCCTGAATGAACTGGACGAGGTTGAAGGCCGACTGATAGATTATGGTGGGAGATTGACCTACGATATCGCCGAAGCTGGCCTCGTTCTGGGGAAAGTCGGGCGCGCGAAGCGTGCAGCGCTGGAACTGCGCACCCGCGGTGTTTGGACAGAGGAGCTCATACCTAGCTCAGCTTCGAAATTGACTAGCGGTGGCGCGGAGCCCCCCATCAAGCGCAGGCGCACAGATCAGTATGATGGGACCAAGGATGCCCCCGTTGAGATTGTTGATCTTAGTACTGATTCTGAGGGCGAGGATGGATTTGCGATTCGACATGACACTTCAAAGCATCTGGTTCCAGAGAAAAAGGTAGAGGCAATTGAAGATTCAATCACTGTCCTGAAGCTCGAGTGGCTTTATACCTCTATCGCATCCGGCCAATGTGTATCCCAAGACCCATTCGTTGTCTACCGTGGGCGAAAGATCCCCTCTCCTCCCACGACAAAGGCAGAAAATAAGCAAGACCTATTTGCACAAAAATCAAATCAAATCATCGAGCGTGCAAAACAGGATGCTAGTTTATCAACACGAACTCCCCCTCCAGAACACATCCACGCACCACGCTCAAAAGAACCTCCCGAGGGACCTTCCCAGCGCCCCCGACCAACGCTATATCGCCAAACGACCTCCGAACACGAAAAAGAGGAAGCCAACCCACTCCAACAACCAGACTGGGTCCGGGACCACGTCATATTCGCATGCCTACGCTCGGCACCCTTACACCCCCCAAACGAAGACTTCATCTCACAACTCGTGAAAATAAGAAAAATCCGCGAACTCACCCTCGACGAGATCGGCGTGCGTGCTTATAGTACCTCCATCGCCGCATTAGCAGCGTATCCCCACCCCATCCAGCGACCGAACGAAATCCTCGCTTTACCAGGATGCAACGCCAAAATCGCAGACTTGTTCGCGCAGTTCCAGCAGCACGGTGACTGCGACCACACCGATGACGACGGGAACGTCGCCGCTGCCGATGCACTAGAGACGGATCCCATGCTCCGTGTTCTGAACTCGTTCTATCAAATCTGGGGCGTTGGAGCGAAGACCGCGCGCGAGTTCTACCAGCGCGGCTGGCGCGATCTCGATGATATCGTCGAGCATGGATGGAACACGCTGTCACGCGTACAGCAGATTGGAGTGAAATTCTACGAGGAGTTCCAGGAAGGTGTCCCCCGTGCCGAGAGCGAGGGTATTGCTACTGTAATCCGTGATCATGCTAGCCGTGTCCGGCCGGAAGATGGAGGTGGAGATGGTATTGAGTGTGTGATCGTTGGCGGATATCGTCGTGGAAAGGAACTCAGTGGCGACGTTGATATTGTACTGTCTCATCGTGATGACTCCGTGACTCGGAATCTGGTTGTCGATGTTGTTGCGAGTCTTGAGGCAGAACGGTATATCACTCATACGCTGTCTTTGCATTTGACTTCTTCGCTGCGTGAGCAGCAGACTTTGCCGTTTGATGGTGATGATACGACCAAATTTGATACTTTGGATAAGGCGCTGGTTGTCTGGCAAGATCCACATTTTGATGCGACTACGGGGGATAATGGGCATAAGGGGAAGAATCCGAATATTCATCGTCGTGTTGATATTATCATATCGCCTTGGCGAACGGTTGGTTGTGCGGTGCTTGGATGGTCTGGTGACTTGACTTTTCAAAGAGATTTACGGCGGCATGCGAAGAAGGCACGATCGTTGAAGTTTGATTCGAGTGGTGTACGAGACCGAAACACTGGAAGGCAGGTTGACCTGGAACACGATGGGCAGACCTGGGAGGAGAGGGAGAAACTTGTGATGGAGGGATTGGGGGTAGGTTGGAGACCACCAGAGGAACGGTGCTCAAGATAGATACTGGTCAGGGTCTTGGGAAAAATATATATCCTTCAAAGCTGGATATATGGGTTGCCACAAAAAGCATCGGATGTACAAACACACATATATTAGGGACGTGTACTGATATATTTATAACAAACACTAAGTGACGCATGAAACTTCAAGTCACCCAACCGGGTAGAGGTTGTATACGAAAGTACCACCAGATTAGCTGCTATGTGATTTATGGTTACAAATAAGAAACGGAAGTCACTGAATCATGTCATGTTTAAGTTTCGCAAGACTCAGCTACAGCCACATCAGGCAAACAGGGGAAAAAAAAAAGACGTAATATGTCACAGCCTCCACACCAATCGACTGGCTATAAGGACGACCTGGAGAAAATGAAAAGAGCATAAGGTACACAAAGATACAAATCCATCAACCTTTGGTATGGATCCATACGAAGAAAAAGAAAGAACACAACAAACCGCCACTTGCAAATGCACAATGCATAATCAACCCACAGCGAATCAATCATCACGCCATGGGCCTAGAGCTAGCCATCTCACCATACCGTCCACGACTCCGGGTAGTGTCGTAAGCATTGAGAACACGCATCTGGCCGCCATCGTCGGCCTGGGAGAAGGCGTAACCGCGCTGCTTGCGCATGCGCTGGACCTGGCGGACCTTCCGGATGGCTTTTTGGAACTGCTCCATGCGTGGACGGTAGTCCTGGACGTTGTATTTCTGGATTTCCTGGACATGGTGGTATTGTTGTGGGTAGTACATACGTTTGGCGTACTTCCAGGCATAATCACGTAGAAGACATATACAGGGTAGGACGATGGCCATGAGGTAGAAGATGGGGGACTTGAAGAGCACGGGGATGGTGCCGTAGTATTCTTGCGAGAAGCCCAAAGCCGGGGCGGCGTAACCATATGCCGGGAGGAAGATCAGCCACAAGGCCATTGAGCCTGGGATGGCAATGAAGGTGTATTTAGTCCAGATGTTGGTGATCAGAGCGGCTTTTCCGAGGACGGTACCCAGCACGGCGGTGTACAGAGCTTCACCCCAGACCCAGTGGCCGGCGACATGGCCGTCTGCCATGGGAAGGTCCCAGTAGTAGAGCAACTGAGAGACAATGTAGAGGATGAGAGAGTGGAAAAATCCATTCAGAATCCAGGCCCAGAAGCTGTGCTTCTTGAAGAAGACGCCCTTCTGGCCCAGCTGATACATCTGTGGGTAGCGGTCCAGCAATCGGGCGGAGATGTACTGGTCAAAGATTCCCATGGCGAATGGAGGTAGGACAGTGAAGAGCACGTTGTAGAAGGAGAGCGTCCAAGATTCGTAGATAACCTCTCCAGAGAATGCGTTTTGGAAAGAATACTGTAACAAGTCAGATACCACTCCAAATAATCCATCAGGGTCGAACTTACCCAGAATTGAGTCATATAGAGCGTGATATTCTTATAGTAGGAGTAAAGAATGACTCGACTGATACGAGAATAGCTCCACGCCCCGTGAACCAAAAGCAACTTCCGAAGGAACCGGAACTGGCCAATTGCGACATCAGCAGATCGTGCGGCTTGAAGACCTTCGACACCGCTGATGCCGACTCCGACATGAGCAGCTTGAATCATAGACACATCATTGGCACCGTCGCCAATAGCCAAGAGAAGAGCCTTCTTGTGGCGCTTGACAAGCTTGACGACCAAAGCTTTTTGAAGGGGAGAGACCCGACTAAAGAACGTGTTAGAATGGAAATAAGAGCATCCATAATTCAATGGCACTTACCAGCAAACAACGGCTTTGCACATGACAGCCAGATCCAAGAAGAGCTTCTCCATATCTTTCTCCAAAGCAAAAGTCAATGATCGCCCATCAATTACCAAAGCCAAAGGTTCAGTGTCCCCAGAGACAATCTGGCTCTGCACAGCGTCCATTTTCTTTTGCAAGCTATCACGGGTGGCTTCTGACGACTCCTCGTTGATGATGAGAAGCGTCATGTCTTCCGAGATGAGTTTACAGGACATGCCGATGTTGATTGCAGTCTCCTGCCGATCACCAGTCAAGACCCAAATTTTGATGCCTGCAGTCTGGAGAGTATGGATAGTATCCGGAACACCATCCTGCAAGCGATCCTCAATAGCCGTGGCGCCAAGAAGATAGAAATCCTTTTCGATCAGCTCGGCCGCTTTGTCCAGTTCATCCGCACGATTGCCGTCAACAGTGGTAGAAGCCTTTTCATAGATCTGGTGCCATTGCTGGAACTCGCTTTCTGGGACTTCCCGCATAGCCAGACACAATGTCCGTAGACCATCCGATGCATACTCCTCCAGGTGCTGAAGAGTTGGTTCCACGGTAGGGTTATCGGGATGCAACCGCTCAAGAATGACCGTGTCAGCACCCTTACAGTAGACGCGGACCTTCCCATCAGGGCACCGGAAGATAGTGGACATTCTTTTTCTAGTAGAGTTGAACTCGCATACTGCTAGCAGTTCGTATTCAAGCTCCTGCCCTCCACTCTCAAAGATCACCGATCTCGGTTTTCGGTTGGTGAATCGGAAACCCAGCGATGCGGCCCCGTCCACCAAGGCTCCCTCGTCCGGCGATGCTGCTTGGTACTTGATCACATTTGGGTCATCGGCGTTTCGCTCGGGAATAACAGTGTGACAGGTGGCAAGGAGAGTGAGAAATTCGCGTATAGCGTTCTGGCTTGGGTGCGACTGAAGGTTCCCCCGGAGTGTTTTGAAGTCATGAATACCAACTTCAGCGCCATCCTCCACGGTGGCACGTCGATCTTCGGGAACTTCATCTCCATATTGGATACCCGCAATGCTAACTTGTTTAAACTCCATCATGTTGCAGGTGAGGGTACCCGTTTTGTCCGAGAAGATGTACTCAATTTGACCAAGTTCCTCGACAAGAGAGGATGTGCGGCAAATAGCCGGGGTATCCGTTTTATCGTAGTAAATGTCGAGGTCGGAGTTGATGAGGAAGGCCTGGAAGTATTTGACGATTTCAATGGTGACGAAGAGGGAGATCGGAACCAAATTCGAATAGAGCACCCAGTATGTGAAGATGTCCATAAAGAACTGCTTTACCATTTTGACCGACCCATAGTCGAGGTAAGCAAGCTGTGAAGATTTGGTTTTCCGAATAGCGAGATCACCGACAGAACTGATGACACTCAGAATGATGAGAATGCTGACAAGCATCAAAATCTGAATGTTGACAGTTCGTTCCACCGCTGTTCGCTTGATTGGGGTTGCTGTAGCATTTCGCATCAGTTTTGTCTCGTGGCCACTAAAAACCACAATGCCATGAATCCAGGGAGTGTTGCGCAGCGTTGCACCACGAAGTAGGAGTTGATCAGGAGCCAAAGGCAACTCTTTCTCGCCACCTCCAGCATTCATAGTCAAGGTGGCTTCGTAAGTATACAGACTGCTATTTGGCTGTTCTGATCGAACGCGTCCACTCAGACGACTCAAATCACTGGGGCTGACCAGATGTGCAGTCTCTGGAATGGCTTGCTTGATTTTGAGATTGGTCTCGCCGTCCAAGTTTGCCGTCTCAATGTAGCATAGACCTTCAGGCTCAGATGACGCCAGCAGTACCAAGTCGGCTGGAAAAGGCTGCTCGGACTCAACCCGAACTATATCCCCGACTACAACATCCACCCATTTTGCATCGTGGAACGAAGATCCCTTGAGAACTTGGGTTTTGGAGTAATTCAGTCCTCTGTCCGACATTCTCCGTTTATAGTCCTCCACCAACTCTTTGATCGCCGACACAGCCAAGACGATAGCCAGCGGAACGATAGTTGTGAACTTATTCGTTGGTGACACATTTGGGATTTGTTGTAGGACAGCGGTAAACAAGAAGAACAGGTTGGCGTATTTAGAGAATTGCTCGAAGAGGAATTTGGGGATAAAGGTAAAGATGTTGTACTTGGCCGTCGATACGAAGTTGCTGACGAACCTGTGGGTGGCATTGGCGGGTGGGTTGTTGAGTTGGATCATGCGCGGGCCCAGTGTCGCGGGATCGACCTTGCGTGCAAAGATATTAAGGTCGGACGCGTGGAACTTCTTGCGTTGCTTCGTTGGCGGCGCCGGAGAAGCATCGCTACCGACTGTCGCCCTTCTTGCGCCTGATTCCGTCAACGGGAGATCCATTTCCGAATATTGCGATGACCCCATGCCAAACATGTATTTCGCCTTGCCCATCAATCCACCCCCGAGTCCGAGCACGCTATTGCGCTCATTTGCCTTGCGGACGTGGTGTGAACTAGCAATTCGGTCCTCGTCCGCGTCGAGATCATAATAACCGGAATGCCCATCGTCGAAGTCATCTAAAGAGTACCGCCGATAATTGTCCAGTCCGGAGGTCTGGGAGTAGCTTCGATCTCGCGTGCCGTTGGAGTAGGGGTCATTTGAATGGAGACCGGGGTTGACAGGCGGATGCGCCGGTCCAGAAGGAGCATTATGCTGTGTTGCGCCCTGCTGTGCGCCAGATCCGACAAAGTTATCGTAGGAGACAGAAGGGCGCGGCTGTGTTTGGGCGTACGGGTGTTCAGAGTCGTCAATGTTGTAGCGTTCCAGTAGGTGTTCGTCGTTCACGGGGGGTCCTTGGCCGGTGCTATACGTAGGTCCGGAATCCAGCAGCAGGTCGTCATCGCGGCCAGCGGCTGGATGCGACCCAGGAGGCCTACCGCTGGCCATGATGCCGCGGGGAAGCTGACAGCCTCAGTGTTGTAGCACAGTAACAATGCCCCTGAGGCATTAATCGCAAGGCCACGTCGACAAAAAGGGCACTGCTATATCTGTCGCGAGCAGAGACGATGGGAAACGAGGTATGGCGAACAAATGACAGATTTGAGGGGACTTGGACTGGAAAAATGTGGGAATAAGGTGAGAATGAAGTCCAAGGGTGGCTTAGCGGGCGAAGGCAGCAATTAAGCTATGTTGATTTGATGCACGGGTAGGCGGTAAAGCACTTCACAACAATCAAAGAAATCGAATCTTCGGAATGATACTCTAATTTATTATTCATAGAGTGAGTATATACAACATAGTTTTAAAACATCTTAATCTCTATACTATAGTCAAAATTCACTTCTAATCATTGGCTGCCTCCAGTCTACAACGAATTGAGCTAGGAATAGGGGGCTCTTGGCAGCCGGAAATATATTAATCGCTTTGTTTGGAGTATGGAGTACATATATCCCAGGTAATGTCTAGCACTCAAGACCTTTCCCCTTCCATTTTAGTGCCCACCTCTTGCCGCTTTTTGATCTCAAAGTGAAATTGAGCACGCCCCTGAACACATACACAAGGTGACTACGCATCATCTGACCAACGTAACCGGTAAGCGAATGGGCTATGTAAGCCAGTGGGCCACCTGACCCCAAACGCGTCCATGAATTAGGACTGACACCCCCATAAAATACCCTGTTCCCACTATGTACTCGACTCAGTATTTGATAAATCAACCAACATTTATACACTGCCAAGCCTTCGAGATCGCGGAGTAGTCACGTGTTACCCATTCGCCGCTCTTCAGAACTCAGAGTGACCCGGCTCTGGCCGTTCTACACTGATGTTCAACATATCAAAGATTGTACATCGTGACGTTTCAACCACACATCAGTATTTCCCAGTTTATGCCAAGCTCGACTGTCCAACTTGACCTCTTGGAATGCAGGCCCATGTCTCTGGAGGTGCCCATGCGCACCAACGAGAGTCGCCATTGCGAGCTGTAAGGCTGAAATCGCTGAGCTGCGTCTACTGTCGACAGAAAAAAATTCGTTGTAACCGGCAAGACCCGTGTTTGAACTGCACCAAAGCCAATGTCGAGTGCACTTTTCCAAGTCCTGCGCGAAATGCACAAAAGAAAAGACACTGTCAGATGTCGGAGTTGACAGCGAGAATGCGCCGGCTAGAGCAAGCAATCTTCGATATCAGTGAAAATATAAAACCGCGTGATGAAACACCTGCCTCGCTGGCAGGTTCATACTCGCATCCTGTGCTAGAAGGATCAACCGACACAAACGCCACAGGGACTCCGGGGGATCCCACCGATGCCTCCTCGCAAGGACAAGCCAACGCCATCGAAATAGAAATGCACGGAATTAACAGCATGCTACCTTTTGGCCGTAAGCTCGTAGCGCATAACTTGCCATCTATCTGCCCGAACCCCCTGCAGCGGCAGGCAATCTGGCAAAGCTACCTGGAGAATGTGGCTCCGCTCGTGACCGTCGTACATCGGCCAAGTCTGGAGAAGCTTTTGGCACAAGTGAATGAGTCTGAAGACACTCTTGAAAAAGCAGATAAGGCCCTGGTTTTTGCCGTATACTTATCTGCGATCATAAGCATGACACCCGCCCAGTGCTTCGACAAACTTGGCGAACAGCAAGAGTCGGCAATCGCTTGGTATCGTTTGGCTGTTGAGCAAGCGCTCACTGAGGCTGATTTGTTCAATTCTCATGACTTTACCTTGCTTCAATCTGCCGTATTATACCTTATTTCTATTCGACGACATGATAAGGGACATCTTGTATGGACTATGACAGCGGTCGTATTGCGACTCGCGCAAAAGTTGGAGTTTCATCGCGAAAGCGCTCTGTCCGTCACCTCTCCCATGGATGCTGAGATGTCGCGCCGACTTTGGTGGCATATCTTGGTGCTAGATGTGCAATCTGCTGAGGATCATCGTACTGAGCCTCTAATCCATGATGGGCAGTTTGACACCAAATTTCCATTAAACATCAACGATGAAGACCTGGTTCTCGGAGACAAAGATTTTCCATGTGAACGCTCGGGTTATACAAATATGACCTTTTCCCTGATCCGGTTCGAGATTACGGCTACTTATCGTCTCCTGAAATATTCTTCATTCAGACAACCCGATATCTCTGCCGAGGATTTGTTGGCGAGTCGCCAGCAGCACGTAATTGGCCTGGAGCGTCGTTTGCGCGAAAAATATCTGCGACATTCTACCACATCCGCCACTGTGCATTGGCTCTGCGCTACTATTTCTTGGTTAGTGCTCGCTAAACTGCGAGTTTCTGTCTATGACACGTTGATGTCCGGAGATATGTGGAACATGGAGCTCAACGCGAGCATTCGTGAGTTTCTCTTTGCGACATCAATCGATGTAATCGAGCTCTCAGCCATCCTGGAGACCAGCCAGAAAAACCTTGGCAATTGGACTTGGATTTTCAAAAATAACAATCAGTGGCGTGCGCTTTCTTTTGTCCTGGTGGAGCTCTGTCTCCATCCCATGGGAAATGATGTGGACCGTGCCTGGCGCGCAATTGATCATGCCTTCTCTCTGTGGGAGTCGCAAGACGCATGCGCCCAGAAGGACATTTGGTCAATTGTCTCCCAGCTCAAGGAGCGAGCTATCCAGGCCAGGAGGCGACAGCTGGTCAACTTCCGTATCCCTGCATCAACGCTTGCACGTCAGTACTGCCGTTCGTTTCCTGTAGTGGAATCACAGCATTTGAACGATGGCAATGATGTACGACAACCGCTATCAACATGCACTGAAACGCCTTCTTGCTCTCCGGAGCATTCATCACGCATGCATTATTCCTGGCCCGCGTGGAATCCCCCGGATCTTTCGGCGTTTGGTTCAGTCGAAGATCCGGGGTTAGTCTCGGGCATAAACACCTCCGCTGGTGACCTGCCAGAGAACCTATATTTTTCGCACACTGGTTCCTTGTCTGATCACGTTTTAGGTTTCTTTTGAATGCCCAGAAGTCTCACAAAAGTAACTGCTCTGCCGATTTGATCGGTTGCTCCCCATACGCACTGTTATATGGTAATGATGGAATGATTGAGTCGAAAACAGAAGTAAACTATCGAATGCTGAAAACCAGCCAACTATACGCATTTCCGCTTGATGCAAAGGAAGCAAAAAAACGTGTGATAAAGCAATTTTGATTTGGAGGTTTACCGTTAAAGAAAATTTTGGCATTGGAGCTGGAGAATATGCCCAAGAGTGTAGGTGGTCGCACCAGTTTCGCAACGTATTATAACCTGTGGAATACTAAGTCGAGTACAGGGCCGAGACAGGGTATTTTACCTAGAAAATCATATGACACTTAGCACCAAGTATACCATATAAAAGTGCATAATACAGTTAGTGATCGATATCCGTATAGATTGCTGAAAAAGCGGGTTTTGACATTCTAGTTAGAGTTAATAATTTATCTATAACTACTTAGACTCCCACACGACCCATTTCGGTTGAAGGTCTTGATCTAGAACCCAACCTAGGTCTAACCTAGACCTAGTGAGTGACTAGGGCCCTAGAAAACCTAGTTTCCACCCAAAGAAATGCCATTGCTGGAGCGCTTTTTGAAAAGAATTGGGTTCTTTGTTCCCGAATATATTGTTATGTACGAGCCCCTTATAACCCTACTTTACATAACAGACCACTCATTTTATACTATCTAGGTACATAATCGGTCTTGCCTTATGTCCGTTTCTGCTGGAATACCTCATCTGTCGTCGATATTGTGATATAGAGGATTGCCGTTTTCACCGCAGTACTGCGTCACGTAAGAGATTCTTTTGTTTTTTTTACCGTTCTGCGGCTTCGGTACCTAACTTGGTCTCGGGACAGGCAAGACGGGCGACGAAGTGTCCTATATAACGTCTTAATACTTAAAAGCACAATAAATCCTCGTCCTAACATCTTCAATTTTTCTATTTCCGTGTAGCGTTCGTTCCATTCACTTGGTGAGCTGCATAAAAAAGAGGCCATTAGTTCTTTACTTCGAGGATCACACGGCGTAGAACTCTAAAGCTTAGAAAGATGTAAGAATAGTTTCTAGTGAAATTCGACCGGCACATCTAAGGATTCTTTCGGAATTCAGAGGGTTAAATTTAAGCTTTCGCGTGAAAACAAAGAAGGATACAGGGAACAAAAAAAGGGCGTATATCGATCCTATTAATGTTTTTAATTACATGCATCGTCAATACGACTGGGGCTATCATTCATACTTCCAGTATTAGTGGGATACCGACAGAGTTGAGAATGTTTATTTGCTAATGTTAAGCTCATCCTCGCAATGATGCGAAGCAGTACGTTTTGCGACAGCCATGACTCGCCAAAAGGACCTGTAAAACTAACAATCTTTTCTGGAATCATTCATATGAAATTGGACAGTGATTTCGAGATATGTGTTATCGTCTGCACTATTCGATCTAGGGCCAGGGTCTACTTGTCTCTATGGGGATGCATCCCAGGATGCAATATTCATCAGATGACACGCGCGTTGCGCGCATCCGTCCGACACTATGAAAAGGAGAGACAGGAGGACTAGAAAAATCCAATTAAACACTCTGTGCTGCGACTTGAATGGAAAACAGAATTGATCAATGAAAAAAGCGGTACAGATGACAAAAACCCAGAGGGCCAGCCTATATTTTTGCATACATGCCGTCCCATTTCAGCCGCTGATCCTTGGCCCCTGGCCTGCTTTGCTGTTGGTTGGGATGATTCACAGTCCAACGCAAACTCCAGGAATGGAGGCTTTCTGTAGGACGGATGCGCGGAACTCAGTACCTTCCGGGAAGTCCTCGCAGACCTTCCTGAATTCAGGCAAAGCCAAGCCGTTCTTTAGGTCTTCATTGTTCTCCCAAACGGCGTAGTTGACGATAAAGTTGCCATCTCCAATAGCGCTGTGCAGTTGAGTGGAGATGTAACCAGGCGCTTTCTTGAGGACCTCAGCGCTACGGCTCCAAGTCTTCAGAAATGACGCCTTATCGGCCCCGGGGGGAAGCGAAATGACATTGAGAAGAACGACAGGCCCCACGGCAGGGGTGACAGATAGCATGGCCTCGAAGGAGGTGGAGCGATCGAGGGGTTTGTGGATAGGCGCCATTTTATGAGAAAATTGTATGGATGGTAACCTGAGGTAAATTGTTAGAGAATATTACTTCATAAATAAGAATGTGAACGTACTTTGGTGAGATAATTTGCTTTTACGATGAGTTCTGAGAGTATATCATCGTTGGTGTACAGATGATATCCTTTTATCTTCACTCACGCAGGCGTACCGCAATTTCGGAACTGAGGAAGCCCGAAGCCCGGGAACAGAATGATGTATTTGTCGCCCGGTTTTTAAACAAACTTCCCTTAGATTCTTGATGGGGTACTCCCGGACTTCGCGCTGTCTTGGTTCCGGGCTCCGGAGCGATCATTACGGCGGAGAACCCATTCTTTTGAGTCATACCTGTATCATAGTGAAATGGCATCGCTCTAGTTGATTCAAGTGGATTGAGTCGCTATAATTTTATAAGGCTAATGCTAGTGAATAGAAAAATCACAATCCATATTAACGCTAGAACGCTACATACAGTGCATTTTGGCGAGAGCGTAGCTTGTCAGCATCTAATCACGCGAATACAGTTTCTTATAGCTCAAATAGACGAAGCTCTCATCCAAAATATAGAATGAGTCGTCGGCACCAAATTCTAAATCGAACACCTACCACTAACTGTGATCTTTGTAGGTAGCTCAATAAGCTCCTGCTCCAGGACTCCTCTTCTATAAACATGATGGTCCAAGCGAATATAGGTGCAGAACACATAGCTGGAGACACGTAGTCTCATCAGAGAGATCATATGTATTCATTTTCTAACATGCCCATGGGATTCAAAAGAGAGAATAAGTTGTACAAATAATCCTTTCCAATTCAGACAGTTAATCCCCCACTCACCACCAAGTTGACCCCATTCAACCACGTCGCACGTGGATGACACAGCATCAACACAGCGTACGCTATCTCGCTTGTCTCAGCGGCTCTGCTGGCAACTGGAGTGCTTTCAACCAGGGGCTTGATAACTTCCATGAAATTGGCACTGGCCGCATTATATGCTTCAGTACGCGTGGGCCCAGGTGATACACAGTTGACGGTGCAGTTGTATTTTGGAGGTAGTTCTTTCGCCCACACCTTGGTAAAGCTTTCAACCATAGCTTTACTTCCGGATAAGATTGTTTGTAAAGCCAGTCCTTCCTTCGCCGATATGCTGGAGATGTTGATGATTCGCGATCCTCGAGGAGCGAGGTGGGGAAGGGCCGCTTGGGTGAGAAGGAACGTTCCTCGACCGTTGAGGTTCACCAAGTTCTCCCAGTGCTCGAGTGTCTGCTCCTCAAATGGCAGGTCCACTGCTTTTCCGGCATTATTAACTAGGATGTCGATTGTCCCGAAGGCTGCAACTGCCGCCTTGATGAGATCCCGTGGCCCCTCAGGGGTAGAGATATCGGCTTCCACTGCGATGCTAGGGGTATGCAAACTGGCCGCAACTGCCTCTGCGCGTTGTTGACGAGAAGCGGAAGGATAGTTTATGACAATCTTAGCACCGCTAGCCGAGAGTTCTCGCGCGATCTGGGCACCAATTCCTCCGTGGGAACCGCTGATGATAGCGACCTTTTCTTTTAGAGGCTGCTGACTCGCACAGGCCGAATCAACTTGGCAATCATGACAGGTCATGTTGTGTATGGTCACTTTTCAGTTGGGGGAGGGAAACTAGGCACCACCGTGCTCGCTTTTTTAATACTTACAAAGAAGTCCAAATAATTTCTTCTATCACGTTACTCTAGTTTACCTGCAGAATCCATCCCATATTTGGAAGCGATCGGTAGACGATCTTTAAGTCAAGTCGGTCTTTCGGGCTATCAATTCACTACACTTCCAACTGACGTCTTCTGAAAGCAAGTATTTACGTGCATATAATCACAAACCACCTTATCGTCAGAAAGGTCTTAGAAAACTAGCGACTAGGGCGCAGAAATTCAACAATCTAGATGCTAACAAATGGCGAGTGAGGGTTTTTCGGACTTCGGACAAGTGCGTAACGCGGAAGCCGAAATCTAAGGTGCTCACCTAGTTAGAAGCTCCACATGGATAGACTACTCCACATGGATAGACTACTCCACATGGATAGACTACTCCACATGGATAGACTACTCCACATGAATAGACTAAGTGTAATATGCACTTTTGTATAATATCCCGGTACCAAATGCCACACGATTTTTCCGCGTAAAATACCTGCTCCCACCCTGTACTCGACTTAGTATTCGATATACCTCTAGCTCTTAAAGCCTATATCTTCTGGGCTTTGAGAGCTGTCAATTCTTTCATTTCTGCACTCTTTTCTAAACAGCCTCTATTTAGTATATTAGATGACTGATCTCTCCCACACTGATTAGCTCTCTAAAGAGATGCTACTTTTATTTAGGAAGCGCTTTTGTAAGGCTATCTACCGGTATCGCCGTAGTTAGAACCTAGTCTATTTTGACTCGACCCTCGTTGACCTCCTACTTTATCTAGTATCGAATCGTACTCCTATAGTACTCCTATAGTATTATAATATAGTATTATAATTAGACCTAGCAGTGACCCTCCGGGTGGTCCATGACCTTTGGACCGGTTATGGCGTAGACTACTACTAACCTCCTACTGACCTACTAGAAGCAACTGACAGAAAGCTGGTGTACGAACAATGTATGACCAATGTTGACAACTCTAACTAAAAATGACGAAACCCGCTATTTCAATAAGCTGTACGGACATCGACGGTGTCGGTATGCCCGGTACCCTATGTCACAAGATTTTCTGGGTATAATACCCGGTTTCTAACATATAATTCGGACTTCGTATTCGTTTGGGGTCTATCTGGACAATCCTGGGCGAAGCTTCCATGGTTTTCTTGAGTGGTGTGTGGATATTATTGGGGCGGCCCAATATAGTACAACACTACCAGTTGGGCGAAATGTATTTATACGCCGGATTAGCAGTCGTCTTAGGATAGAATACAGCAGGAGTCGGCAGTTCGGGGCTTTAAATGTCCGATCGCTTCCTTTGCTATGCGATTCTGTTGTAAGAGGGAGTCGGTGACTCGGCTCTATACATGCCGATCTCTTTCTCGGCTGATGCAATCCCGCTTGGCATCTTTTGTTTTTCTTCTTCGTTGATACTTTGTCCCACATGTAGTCTACCATATAAGAATAGGAAATAGCGATAGTGTATCATCTACCTTTTCAAATATTGCATAATGCAATCCAATGGTATTAATGCGATTAAATGAAGGTATAAAACACCGGAGCGAGATTGGATTGGAGAGACTCTTTGACCAAACGAGATGTGATTTCAGAAATAAATCGAGCATGGCACTATAATATACGTCCCTATCAGTATATGTACCATTGTACGGCTAACCGGTATGATTGCTTCACTGTACTAAACCTTCAACGAGCGACTCCCCAATAGGATAAAAAATGAAAATTTTCTGGAGCTAATTGTAGGAACTATACCAAGAAATCAATGGATCCTAGTAATCGCCAAGTTGATGAACACTGCCTACCAAATTGCTTGGCGAATGCTGGAAATTTTCTGGGTTGTCATGAATCTTATATTTAGCACCTGGCTCCAGGTTCGATATTTTCCCCATGTTGTCTTTAAAAGCTTTTGTATCGGACATTTCCCGTCCACTATCATTTTGAAGAGCAATTGGAATTGATTCTCAACATGCCAACCGATATTTTACTTGAACACAGATCGCGAACTCAATCAGTGGTGCGAATTCTACCTAAGATAACGAAATGTTGCTCGTACTAATCGTATCACGGCAGTGTGACCTATGCCATTCTCGCAAGGTATAGTAAACAAATTGAATTCATAACCAAACATGCTTACAAAATACGCAGGTTCGCTGCGATAGGCACAATCCATGTGGCAACTGCCAGGATGCGGGAATTTCATGTTATCGTCGGCGAGATACGAAGCGAAGAAGTAAACGTATTCGCCGCCAGGGTTATCGGAATAACCGCAACCCCTCCAAACCCCAAACTCAAATGATACCTGATTATCGGTTCGATGCGAAGGTTGCAGACATAAGCAATAACACCTCAACTGAGGTCATGCCAGAGTGCTCCATCCCAAGTCACTACCTAGACGATTTCTTTAAGCCAGGAACGAGACTCTCGTATGATCCAGCTTATGATGCGCAGATGACAGTCCAGCATCAACTGCAACATTTACAAGGTCTCACTATGGATAGACGCATGGTTCTCGAATCGGCCTTGTCTGTCATCGAGATATTATCTCACAATTCGAGAGAACTTATAGAAGGCAACCAGAGGATTGAGCAGGGCGGAGTACTATCTCGTATTCCTTCTACCGAATTCCTCGCCTGGATGTTGAAAGGTACTCCACTGTTGGCAGACCAAAATGTGCAATCGAGAGAAAGCTAATACTACGTAGATGTCGAAAGTGATAGATTTGGGTCGTTTATCGCGGATTACTTCCGACATATATCAAAACCAACGTTGAAACGAATGGGCCTTTCACTCCTTCACAACAGAGCACCGCCGTCCGAGTGTCAAATCAATACTGCCTGCGTCAATGCTTTTGCTTATAGGTTTCTCACAACTGTGATGAACCTTGAAGATGATTCTGAACTTACCCTTGAGCTAAGGAAGAGTGCCACAGAGTATAGATCTGCCGCCCAGGCTGCATTCAAGCAGATACCGCTTCGAACAACACCATCCCTTGGACTTCTACAAGCTCTTATCTGTGGGGTAAGCTTCCTATTACCGTAGTAATAAGACGATTCCTTAGAATTAACCTACGTCTAGGTCTTTACCAAACGTGTGGCGACGTTGATTTGGCCAGCGACCTTATCGAATCCGCTTATAAAATTTGCATCGATTTGGATCTCGAGAACACGGTTCTCCATGGAAACGCAACGGAGGAAGAAGTTTTCTGTTTTATTCGGTGTTACACATTAAACAGAAACTATGCGTTCAAATCACGGAAAGCGTGGTGCCCTCTCCACGTTGAAGTACCATTCAATCTCTGTGACTTATACCCTACTTACCCTCCGATATCTGAACTCCTACTCATTTATCTCGATCTTGCCCATGTACAAGATACAATCATATCCTGGTCATTGGGTCGTTCATTGAGCCGTCAATTGACCAACGAACATGAATTATTACTCCATCATCCAGAAAAATACATATTACAGAAGATGCAATCTATTCAAGGAAGAATGATCCAGGTAAGCATAGGCTCTATATTGGGTCTTCCGTTTCTCTGTAATGATCTACTAACTCGGCGTTTAGATCTTTTCGTTCTCTTCTCATTGGAAGGGACTTGACTCCCAGGCGGAAATCTCTACACTGAAGTACGCCTACCAGTCGGTCATGACCGCAATATTATATCTTCTTCAGAAGGGACACATTCAAACACCCGGGACAACGGAGAGTTATCTGCAGTCTGCTCGTCAAGAACTCTCTATGTTAGTATCTATGTGCCAATCTTCTGAGAAACAAACGGCAGTCAATTTTCTGAATCGGTATGTATCTAATACTGCTAGCCTGATTATAAGAGGTACATTCTAATCGTACTGTAGGACTGTCCTGCTCTACCCTGTGACAGCATACCTTGTTCTATTCTGCAATGTTGTTGCTACATCTGATATCGGCGATTTCAACCTCATGAAGGCTATAGTTGATTGCCTAGCTCAAAGTGGAGTTAGCTATCCCCTTGTCCGATTGCAGACGCTCTTTCAGAGGTTTTTAAGGCTTTCGCAGGATTTTTTCGATGATGAAAGGAGGGCCATGCAGGGAACTTATACGGATTCTGGGTCATACAGTTCGTTGTCATGGACAACCCATTCCCAGTCTTCTGGAACGCAGATAATTGTGCTGTCAACCAGTTGATGCTGACTGGAGCAGAGAACTATTCTGAGATGTTCAGTATGCCAGAGACGGAGCTGTTTCTGGAATATAATGATTCACCTATGTGAACAAGGGAATGCATAATAACAGTTTTCATGCTTGGCATCGTGACATACAGCATGATTAAAACAGCATCTGTGCCAGATCGTATTGTTTCATCTGTATGCCAATTCGTTAGAGCCTGCTAGGTAGATGAGATCATGAAAGGCACACACAGTGTAGGGTATTGTGAATAATGGTATGTTGTACAGATAGATGTAGGAGGAAGGAGATATTTAGTCTACTACTATAGGAACATGTGATACCTGAGAGTTCAAACACAATTGTACCTTAGGGGAAGTCGCTTCGTGTGAACAAGTGAACCTGGATTCCGTCAACTCAACCAACCCACTATTACCGTTTACAATAGAGTGGGGACCTTCCACTCCGTGCCGGTTTTGTAATTCTCGGTATTTCCCATAACACGACAGAATCCGACAAAACCCTTCAAAGACCGAACGACCGGCCCTCTCATATCACAGCATAGACCTACACGTGATCACTCTTAAGATGTGAGAAAAATTATGCTTTGTGATTCTCTACGTTTCACGCTTGGAAGATCCGTCAGCTAGTATGGCACATCTCCCTGAGTCTTCCACCTCCATTGAGGTCTTTGCTCTCTTAACAGGAAAGCTTTATCTTCCCGATCGCTGGCTGTTCGAAGATGGTGACGAGGACATACGTGCAGCACGTCAACACTCTCCCGACTACAGTTTCCTCATTCGGCACCCGTCCGGAAAGAATGTTCTTTTCGATCTAGGCATGCGAAAGGTCTGTCACGTAGCAGGCATGAAACATGGAGATGAAGGTTGACCGTCTCTAGGATCTTGAAAACTACCCCCCGATTATTGTCGATGAGTATCCATACATCAGCCCGGATATACCCATGGATGCAGCCGATATCCTCAATTCCGGCCCCCATTCCGCGGATAGTATCTCTGCTATTGTGCTCTCACATCTGCACTTCGATCACATAGGGGACTGCAACAAATTTCCTCACGCTTCTGTCATTGTTGGTCCAGGAAGTCGGGCCGCCACAACGCCAGGGTTTCCCAGTGACCCGAGATCCCCGTTTCTTGGTTCGGTCCTTGAGCATCCTGGATTCCTAGAACTCAGTCTTGAGTCAGAGAAATGGGTACCGATCGGTCCATTCCCCCGCGCCTACGACTACTTTGGTGATGGAAGCTTCTATATACTCGATACGCCCGGCCATATGCCGGGTCACTTAAGTGGCCTTGCGCAGACTGGGCCGCAAGAGTGGGTCTTTATGGGAGGAGACTGCTGTCATCACCGTGACCTCCTCTCGGGGAAGAGGCCTGTGAGCGTTACGGTAGGACCTAACGGAACAAAGAGCTTCCACAAAGACCCACAGACCGCCATTAACACAATGGACTTGGTAAGAGAACTGGAGGCAGATGGAAGGGTGTTTGTGGCGTTGGCCCATGACGCCACATTGGAAAGAGGGATGCCACTGTACCCGGAAAGGTTGAATGGGTGGAAGAAAAGCCAGTGGCACAAACAAATGAGTGAGCTCATTGCACAAATGTACGAATGCTAGTTATGTGATGAGTTAGGCCTGAGTTATGAAGGGCATCCGGAATATTAGATGGCAACCCTACAATCTTGCATCCTCGTTGAAACGTAGATATATTGTTTATACAAATACCTATCTGATTATCTGATTATCTAGATTTGTCTCAAGATGAAGAACCTCACATTCAGTCTATTCATTCGGTGCCTGGGTCATATCACATACTGGATAAAAAGCGTAGTCCACCTCATCAATGTGCTTTAGTCGTTGAAAGCTAAATCCTACTTCTGTTTACTCATTATCATTATAAAATTAAGAGAGAACAACGATATTCTTCCATATATCAAGAGCATGCAATCGGTCGTTCCAGATCTATTATCTGTGAAACTACCTGTGGTAGTTGTTTAACATCTTCCCTGTTTCAACATGACCCATTTGCCGGGTCCAGGTATAACCGAGGATGCTATGCGAATTTGTGTTTGTTCTTATGCACAAACTCTTTCCAGGATGTAGGCTTCTCATCTAATAACTCGAGGCTCTCCCCCAGTCCCTTGCCAACATAGTAGCCAGGATCCACCATAAGGAGATATGTTTCATAGGCTTCTTGACCGAAACTGGAAGGTATAACATAGGCTTTGTACTCTTCTTCAGTCAACCGCACTAACTCAGTATGTTTACCCATAACCTCTGCAAACTCCTGTGCGAGTTGCGAAGGACGATAATAACCGGCGCATGCGAAGATCTGTCTGCCGAGCATAGCAGGGCGGTTTTTAATGGCTACCTTGACAAATTTCCCTAATTGTGGAGTCAGTTGAACTACGTTCCTCGCCAAATGAGACCATAAGAGAAAGGAAGGTACCGGTATCCGCAGCGGCATCAAACATCGGCAAGACTGCCTCATTGCCGACAGGAATTGCCAACACATACGTGTTGGCAGGTTGTTTCCGGATGATCGACTGGGTAAAGGCATTCGACATGTAGAAACCCGTATGTACAAACGTCGCTGGAAGTTGTTTTTCGCGCACGTACTGTTCAATATCGGCCTTGCTGTCGAAGTGCTTGACGTGGGTCAGTCGACCCTGGCTCGCTTCCGTCACGTTGACCGCGGTTGAACAAATGAGATGCTGCACGCCGGTGGACGAACATGCGTTTGCAACATTCTTGCCTTGGGTGGTCTCCACATCACGATCAAGATATTCCCAGAAGTTGGTGACGAGAAAGACGGTATGGGCCTTTTCTAACGCGCGGGCCAGAGAGGTAGGGTTTGATAGATCTGCCTGTTCTCTTTGTCAATATCTTTGGTATACATCATCTAGGGTTGCTCGTACCGCAACCATTTCGACGCCCTTGCCCTTCAAGTTCGTAGCTCTCGCACTATCTGGATTGCGCGTGACACCTCGAATCCTGAAATCCCGCGAAAGTTCCGGGTCGGACAGGATCGAATCGATGACCGAACCTCCTTGGTTGCCTGTTGCACCGAAGACAACAAATATCTTGGACATGCTTGAATGGAATGGAAATTACTCAATATGTGTCTATTGAAGTTATGGAGTTGTGAACGGAACCCGGGATCTGATTTAAAAGCTTCGGTATCCTAGGAAGTCATTGAAGAAAGGCAACCAGACTACGACCACAAGATTTCAAATTATTGAACTAGTTAAATCGGCCTTGAAAAGACCGAAGGGCCGACATGGGAATGCCTGCAGCAGAATGCCGCTTGTCGCTCATGGTCATGACTTTGTAAAAGTACGGAAGATCATCCTGACATGGGAACCCGTAATTTCGACCCAGTGAACCGGTGATACGCACAAATAATCTAGATGGTGATCGACTTCATCAATTCCGATTCCTGGAACTTGTTGGGATTCCCTGGCTTTTGACAACATCCGCAAAAGCCGCAACTAGCTGTTCCACTTCTTCTGCTAAAGCCGACTTCCGTTGAACCTTCGGCGTATGAACTTTCTATGTCGTGATCCATTACCAATACGAAGAGAAGAATCATCTTAATGGAGCGACTCTCGCGAGCAGCAATCAAGGAGACTTTGTCTTTTGGTAGATAAATATATACATAAGAAGGCTCGGGTAGTTCCTGTAGAACCTAAAGTCTATCTTCAGGCAAAATCGGGAGATGTCGTGGATTCGCATCGGCTTTTTTCATCACCGAACCCGATATTTCGGAGATAATCTGATTTATATCACCGTCTAAAGGACATGGACTACATTTCATGAATGGTAGGACCTGTCTCATCTGTCAACGAACACAGTAACGTCACTTGATTTTATTTCGATTCTACTTTGAACCACTTCTTCTGATATTGGTTCCTTATACCCTCCATTATGATCCAACAAAAACAACCAAAAGTCGCCATTATTGGTGCTGGCCCTGGTGGGCTCACTTTGGCTCGATTTCTCCATCTCGCTAAGATACCCTTCACGATCTTTGAATCGGACAAGTCAGAAGACGCTCGCAGAGTCACTGGCGGGATTCTTGATCTCCACAAATCGACGGGACAACGGGTCATCCAAGAGGCAGGCCTTTGGGAAGAATACGAAAAGCATGTCTCCTATGAGGCAGAGGATCTCATCATTGCAGATCGAAACAATGAACTTTTGCTTGACAGCCGAGGCCAAACCAAGGGACGGCCTGAGATTGACCGGCCAGCATTGCGCGACTTGCTTTTGTTCTCCATCCCGCCAGAGCGCATCCGGTGGAATCATCACCTCAAGCATGTGGATGAGGATGGAACCTTGCATTTTACCCATGGAAAAGAACGTGGCTATGATCTGATCGTGGGCGCAGATGGCGTCTGGTCCAAGGTTCGCCCGGTCGTCAGCCATATTGCACCGTTTTATTCTGGTACCACAGGGTTTGAGCTCTGGATTACCAACCCAGCTGCAATCGATGTCGACATGGATTCTATGCTAGGCAATGGTTCTTACTTTGTCTACGGAGGGGATGATCGGGTACTGATGGCTCAGCGCCAGGGAGACCGCTCGGTCCGCGTGTATGCCTTCGTTCGCAGGCCCGAAAGTTGGATGAAGACTGGTGATCTAGACTTCACCAACCGCCACGCCGTCAAACGATTCCTCTTGGATGAATTCCGAACCTGGAGTCCGGAGCTTTTGCGAATGATTTTGAACTGTGATGGTGAAATCATCCCTCGTCCGCTATATATGTTTCCTGTTGGAATTCGCTGGCCACACAAGGAGCACTTCACGCTTTTGGGGGATGCAGCCCATGCCATGACACCGTTCGCAGGAGAAGGGGTCAATACTGCCATGTTCGATGCCTACAAGCTCGCACAAACTATTATCGCGACTCCTGAGAATCTCGACCTCGCGTCTAGCGTCTATGAGAAGGGCCTGTTTCCCCGCGCTGCCAAGGTTCAACAGGCAACTTGGGAAGAGCTCCTTTGGACGTTTGAGAAAGATGCAGGCGCTCGCCTGGCAGAACGGATCACTTACTTGATTGACATGCATAGTAAGGGTCTCTCTGTTACGGAGGGCATGGGAGCAGATAATTCGATAGATGATTAGAGGCTGAAGAAGCAAAACATAATCGGTATTTTAATGTGACAAAACCAAGGAAAATGGATGATACCAATGCTGGGTCGTTCTGCCAAAAGATTCTCTTCGGACAATCTCCGGGCTCCTGGTCAACACAGCCACAAAATGCATAAAACGCACAAAGTCTCCACTTCAACTGAAAACAATTCGTTTCCTTGTCAGAGTTCGTAATCAGTTCAGCTAATCGAAAAAGCCTCGAGGGTGGGTCCCAATCGTAGGGAGTAGTTCTGACATAGTTAACATCAGTAAGATGGCACACCATGAAACCCCCGAGAAATTGCATTTGATATCAAAGAAAGCCAAAGGTGGTTCGGATTTAAGTTGTGAAAGCAGGATGGAGTAGGAGATTCTATAACTCACCCCCTACATATTTTAAGCGGTTCAAGCCTATGCAATATACGGCTGGTCCTCAATTCAGGGGTTCAACTTAGCAACGGGTCAAAATACATGAAAATACCATCCATATCCCTTCTGGAACAGAGAATATAACAAGGCCTGGTAGCAGCTACAAACTTTATATCAACGGTATCTGTTGAATGACTAAATCAAACCAATCCTACCGGTTCATTCTCCCTGTTCTGGTTGAGCTTGCAAGAGCAAGAGTCCAATTCCCGCCGGCCAGCCCACTAACCACACCATCAGCACCGAGTACAACCCTAGTCCCATTGACGCTGACTAAACTTCCGTTCGCCCCTGCCAGAACAACACGCCCTGTTGTTCCGACTGGAGTACTGAAGCGCAGACGCTTGTATGTACCATTGCGCATCTCAAAAGTAACCGCAAAAGCGCCAAGCTTCGTGGTAAAACCCGCATCGACAGATGTCAGATTACCAGGCTGTGGAGCAATGGACCAGGTCGCTCCTGCCGCGGAAGTCAACTTGAGACCCGCGGCGTAGTTCGTGAGAACGGATGTTGGGCCGGTAGACCAGCCGTGCGCGTGCGATACGCGGGGGTCGTTAGTGTACGGCTCGTAATGCAGCGAACCGTCGGTTGAATAGCCTTCAATGAAGGTTGAGTTGGTCATGCGTGGGTCATCCATCATGAAACCCCATTCCAGACGGAGTAAGTCCAACGCGGAGTTGGGGTTTCCGGCAATGAAGTGCGCTTGAAGCTCGAACCCACTAATGAAGGGTGACACAGTGCGTCCGGCCTCAGGTGCGGGCGCACCGTATTTGCCCCAGCGGTTGCGCAGGGACTTTGAGATTTGTCGGATCTGCGACAGTGACTGGGTCAGGTTGGACTTCACGGCCCAGACGTTTCCATCCTGAGGGTAGAGGGTCGTGGTCTCATTGTCACGGAAAAGGCCGCTGCTGGGGTCCCAGAGGAGCTGGTTTGCCGCAGTCTTTACCTTTCGTCCTTTGGTGGTCCAGGTGTGCTGGACCGAGGTGTCGTTCAGGACTGCTGCCAAGGTCAGGCCTTGGTTGAGGACATAGTAGAGGAGGGAGTTGGCTTGGATATTCTAGTTTTGTCAGCTTGTCCTTTATGTCGCTCCGTGTCATATTTCCCCGTGACATGGGAAGGAGATGAATGGAAACGTACATGACCGCCCATGCCGAAACGCAGCCAGTCCGATGGGGCAGTAATGTTAGCTAGGCCGGTGGTATCGACACTCGACAGCGCATAGTCAATGCCTAGTTTGAACTGGTCCCAGTACCGAGACAACCAGTCCCTATCGCCAGAATAGAGATAGTACAGAGCAACACCGTGGAGACTGTGGCAGTGATATGTAAAGCTGATGGTATCACCAAAGGGCGGACTGGCATACGGCAGACGGCCGTCCTCTTTCTGCAAAGAAAGTAGCAGCTCCAGAGCCACCCTTACACTATAGAGATCATACGTGCTCACGCCGATCGATTCCAGCGAGATAGACATATCGCCGGGCCAAATCAGCCGATCTCTTTTAGCGCCATCGGTAAGAACACTACTGCCATTGGAAATGGTGTAGTTGCTCCACCACGGAACGGTATCTGGGAGCGCAATGGTCTCCGTACTGTTGATTATGCGATACCAGGGGAGAGCGTTGCCCGAGGCTGGGTCAATGGTCGACAGCTGGTTCGTATATGCACCGGCATACCAAATCCGATTGAGTATTTCGTCATCCGAGTGGAAGTAACCCGTGTATGCGCGTAGGTCTTGTGCTGGTGCGGCTGTGAAGTTGACCGTCACGCGATTCAGAGATACTGTCGCCGTGGTATTGCTGACCAAAGTCATGTACCGGAACCCGCCTCTGTTGTGCTTCTTTGCTGCTGTGTAGAGACCAGGCCCATCTGCAAAGGAGAACCAGATAGGACTGTCAAATCCTGCGTCCGCTGTGGCATCGCACGCCTGCTCGCTGACGTATAAGCTTGACTCGGAAAATGTTACACCAATGAAGGCGTCCGAAGAAGCCGAAGCGACATCGATGGACACTATCCCGGCAATATTCTTCTGGAAGTCAAATGTCACCGACGACAGACCATCGAAGATAGCTGGGTGGGTGTCACTAGCATTGGTCAGAGACGCTGGGTTTGTGACGGAGCCGTTTATGCCGACTACCACTGGTGGAATCAATGTTCTCGAGGGCGGGGCGTAGATGTATTCGGCGTAGGGTACAGCGAGACAAGTTAGTGCGAAGAAAAGGGGAAGAATCGACCTCATGTTGAACGAGTTTGGTAAACCACTTCAAAGGCTGAGCGTCCGATTAAGTATTTAGCTGCGCATAGTGGTCTTTGTTCACCCGGAGGTCTTCGTTTACCTAGATCCACTCATTCTAGGATCTCGGGGTATCATTAGCACGAGTTGAGTGATATAACGAAAACGAAATCGGGCATGATATCAACATTTGCGCCGATCCCGATGATCTTCCAAGCCAAATGCGGGGACATTTCCGAATGGGGGAATCGTCAGGTTGTCAGAGTTTTAGGTGGTAATTTACCAGTTGCTTCTAGTAGGTCATAGTAGGCTAGTAGTAGTCTGCGCCATACCCCGCAAAAAAAACGCGAAAGTGGAGCTTAGGTGGGTTTTGCCGACTGTTTTTTGACCTGCAAAATTGTATAACTGCATAAATTTCCAGTGAACTTGCGGGTTTTGCGGGTTTTGCGGGTTGGGCTCGGGTTATAGATCTTAACCCGTATACAGGTTTTGGCGCGGCCTACGTAGTATATTGAAATGGCGCGATACTTCGCGAATTGTGGTAATTTCTTAAATATTAAAGCCTAGATAGCTAGTAAGATCCTACCCTCTTGCTCTATCAAATTCCTAGAGTTTTGGGTGCGAATTGGTGGCATAGTAGGTGGTTGAATTGCCTAAGTGTTAGTTCATAGACGCGTTTTGGTTGGGGTGAGCAGCTCGGTAGTGAAATACATTATAACTTGTTAGGGGAGCCGATACAGAAATACAGAGAGTTGAACCCCATTGATTAGATCCCCTATTTTGCCATTACGGCATCGACCAACATATCAGAGGGACTACTCGAAAGGACAGTCTAGTATACCACACCCTAGCTGTAGGCCACACCATGGAGGACTGCATATATAAGGACACTCATTAGTACACATGTATTTAGTTCTTCAATTGCACATTGTTACTTGGATACCACCTTTACAATCCACAGTTCATCCTTAAGGCACCCTATCCTGCAAGTAGGGGAGCTCACTCTGTGATTGACTGTAAGGGTAAAGGCTGTCCGGTAGAATGATGCTAGTTAATCAGGTGGAAAATCTGGTAAACAAGGGGTAACATAACGGAAACGAAACAGTGGTGAGTTAATATATCTTGTATTGAACTGAATCCTAGAGAGATTCAGACGAAGGGCCTGGAGGAGCCTTAAAGTATAAGTCCCACTTGCAGCCTGATCGTGGCAATATGCCCTCAAACGGTAGCCATGCAGAACTCAACCCCAAGAAGGCGAGGGGAAAGGTTTGAGATACTCATGAAAATGTGGGGGTTCCATCATAGTCAAAGGGATCCTCTAGCTCTGGCCATGGGACAAGGCTGCATCCACACTTTACTTCACACACAGTCTGAGTCAGTCAACCTGCCGCCCTGAGCAGCCAACCGAGCGATCTTAAGCTGCTTACTGAGAGGCCCTGAGTTACTCAAACGACAACGGAGAGATGGGTCCATCTATAGTTCAAACTAAGTGGAATCGGTGGGAGACGGCATTGGGAGCACATAATGAAGAAGTGGACTGTGACTGAAAAGTTGAACCAATTTAACATGAGAGTATAGTGATATTTGATTCCAATAACAAATAAGATACGGAAAGCCAAAGCTGATCATGACTATTCTAAAGGACATGGGACCGTTACGGAAAAAGAGGACAGCCGAAGCAATAACACTGGATCTCTCCGTCGGACGTTACTTCTCTGTAGACTTTTGGGAATCGGACGTTTCGTGGGCAGTCGAAGATAGTAGTGAGAGACCGCTCACTGCAAGAAGTTCTTCGATGTTGGTGCTTCCACTCGGGGCAAGCCCACCACACTCTTCAAAATCTTCCAGGACCTTGTCGATTATCTCCGCCTGGCCACTCATATGTAGAAAGTTTCCAATACAAGCGTGGATTCCGAGAAGTTTAGGATCTGGAAGTTCCCTTCTTCCTTTGTGAACTCTGAATTTGACAAGCCGACTTTTAGGTAAATTTCGTATTGGCCCTGTGGCGGTATCTGGAAAGGTCTTGATTCGATATTGGTGGGCAACTCCGGTTTCTTCAAAAATGAGTCTGAATTGACCGAATTCCATGTGAAGTGGGGCGTCTAGCATCAGCACGTTCTTTTCCGAATTGATCTGTTCTGAGGTGAAGGACATATTCCGAAGAACTGGAAAGTAGCGCCTTAGGTTGACCCAAATCTTTGCATGTCTGTCCACTGCCTCGCCGTCATTGGCCTGAAAGGATCCAAGTGCAAACGGAATAATATGGGCCGCTTCAAGATGGGTCGTTATTGCGTTCCGTGGATGGGCGTGGCTGTGACTGTACTGCCCCGTTGCAAGACATTTGTTGCCATCTCTTTCTAAACAGCGGTGCCGGAGTTGCGATGGAGAGCTTCTACTGATAGGCTCGATGTTTAGGCTCTTGAGATTCTCGATTGAATCTTCAACGCCAGAACGCGGAGACGGAGTGATTTCAGTGGGTGTTTTGCCACCCTGTGCTTTCATAGGAATCAATAAACCACTTCTGATGCTTTGGATCAGTTGCCGAAGCTTCTCATCGTTTGCACACCCCGAAACGTCGCCCGCCAGATTTTCTTTTCCATCAGGAGGAAGAACCTTGAAGAAGTCACGGAGGAAGTCCTTGGTTTTATCCGTGGGTTTAAGTGGTGTGTAACTATTCAGCTTTCGATCCAGCTTCTGGCTTGATTATGAGTATCGAAAAGACTAGAAGACACAGAGGGACTCGCCGTCTCTGATGATGATGCCATTCTGCCGATTACCCAGATTGGGGTGCACTTGGGGCCAGTCTGGAGGGTATGGAAGCTCAAATAAAAGCAAGGCGGCCGGATCAGCTGTGACAGTTGAGAAGGGGATTGATGATAGATGAGTACGATTAGTTCGATGAATGAGTGCGATTGGTTGAAAGAAAGTTGGGTGGGGCGGGAGCCATGCTTAGAGTTACTCCTCACCGCTTTCCCTATTCACTTTTGGTCAGTTAGATTGGCTGAGGTACAGCTCGCTGACTGGACAATGAGAGCTGGTGAGTAAGCAGTGACTGAGAGATCACATGACTACACCAGCATTAAAGCGGCGGCAGCCTACAGGGCATATACAATGTTCTAACATTGGTTCCACTTTAAAGTTTTAAAGATAAAGATACGTTGGACGTTGCCTGGAGAAGAAGGGGGGGAAATAGACATAGGCATTTGAACGTTTTGATTTCCCAAATCTTAGGCGCCCAGTTTACATTTACAATTTAGGAAGAGTGGTTTAGTTCATTCATCTACTAGTTCGCACTCATATGTCGCCCATCATGTGGCAGTCAAGTATCATTGATGTAAACGCCATGCGAAACTCCAGTCCCCCAATCATGAAAGTAATGGTAGTACATGCTGTTTATTCGATTTGAACAGGCCGGTCATTCTCTGCCCGAGACTCATCGGCCATGCCAATCTTCGCCCGCTTGGCCAGGTCGGCCTGGAGGACTTTCTCAACAGCAGCATTGATCTCCTTAACCTTTTCCCATGCCACATTTGTCTTGTTCACAATAGCCATGGCATCTGCGGGTGAACCTGCGTACTTCGAGAGGTAACAGACATCGCCTGCGCTATTAATGCCAATGACAATATCTCCCTCAGCAGCTTGCTCCTCCTTGAGGGTGGCGTCAACAATGACATGTTTGCTGTCATTGAAGGTGTGGAATGTGACCGAGAGAGGTTTGTGTGTGATGTTGAGTGCGACAGGCACACGCTGCTCCACACCATAGACTATGACACGTCCGTCTCTCACCACAGCATCCGGCCGGCGGAAGTGTTGCAGTCCAGCCATGATCGCAATGCAGGCCGCATCCGTAATGTTGCCATCGTGGTCGATAATGTGAACATCGGCTCGGATTGACCAGCAGCTCACGCCCTTCAGAATGCACAAAGATTCAGTGTCAAGGGCGTTGGAATGGCGGATGATGCGGTCAAGAGTGTTGGTGGCATATGCCTCGATGTCGTTGGTTCTGTAGAGTGAATTGTCAGAACAATTTAGTGTATAATGAAATCGCTAGGTGGTATATACCTTCCGTTTTCCCAGGCCGGTGAGCCCATTGCACTTAGCTCCAGGTTGATGTTGAAAAGACCATCAAAGGGACGATCTTCACGCGGCTTGGTGACCTCAGCGGAGATGCGAACAATAATGCTAGAGAACCAGTCAGTCAGTGATTGTCATTTGCGGTAGACGAACAAAGGATCTGGAGCTCACTTCGTCTTCCCAAGCTGCAGCTTGACATGACCATATTCTTCACCAAAGGAGATATTCAGAGGACGATAGTCGTCAGGCTGGCGACCATCGAGGCGCACATTCTCACGGAGCGCCTCGAGAATAAATTCGCGCTCTGCGATTGAGAGTTGCGCTTCTTTCGACATCGTTGAGGGAGGTCTAACAGCCCCGGCGCGGGGATCAGAGATGCTTTCTTTTTTGGGCCATTTTGCCCGTGCAGACCGCATTGTAGCGGTTCGGATTATGGTTATTCCGAGGGTTGCGCCAATAGTAGTGGGATTTCCGTAGGGCGGTGAGGGGGATGTGAGGAGAATTTTGTGCCTGAGGCGACAACTTACATTGAAAGCTGGAAGCCATCAACGTCTCGGCACTTCCAACTTTAACTTAGCAACCACACCACAAAATGACTACAGGTATGCCACTAGCAACAAAATATGGGGGTTTGAATGGTCATAACTAACATTTTCTTAGCCCACAGACCTACTTTTGACCCAGTACGACAACTTTTCTCACCACAACTCTTCATGGACACTGACTGATTTCAACAGGCGCAAGGCAAAGAAGCCCTCCGTGGCCCGGCCTACCACCAGCGACTCCTCCCTGCGCATAAACACCTGAAAGTTCGGTATGTAGAACTATACTTGATCAGACCGCACCGATCACTGACCTTATTCTAGCCAACCCGGACAAGGCGGCGAAGCCGATGCCAACCCATCGTCCCGTGACCTTCGCGCAGAGCTTCTCCAGGCTGAAGCCGCACACTTCGCCAAGAAGAATGGCGTTCCAGTCGACCAGCAAGCTATTGCTGAATCCTCAGTCCCCAAGCGACAACTTGAAGCTGCGCCCGAAGATGGAGGAGATGGCGACATCCAGGAAGAAGACCCAGAGGCCAAACGCCGGCGCATATTGGAGGAGACGCGCGACATAGATGCCGACTCAGACGCGTCAGAAGAAGATAGCAGTGACGAGGATAGGTGGGTCGAACCCTGGATCCCATACCTAGGACGAATAAACTGACAAACCGCAGTGATGACGAAGATGAAGCAGCTGAGTTAATGCGTGAGCTTGAGAAGATCAAAAAAGAGCGATTGGAGCAAAAGGAGAAAGAGGTATCTCGCTTTCTCGCACCCTAGACTCGATAATGGTGGCTAATTCATAACAGGAGCGTGAACGTGCAGCCGAGGAAGAAGAGCAGCGAGAGGTTGATATCGCGCGCGGTAATCCTCTACTCAATTCCCAGGATTTCAACATGAAACGGCGCTGGGATGACGACGTTGTATTCAAGAACCAGGCTCGCGGAACGGAGAACAGAGACGGCAAGGAATTCGTCAACGTATGTTTAATTTCCATTCACTGATTCTTAAGACCACAAACTAATTCATTTTCAGGATCTTCTTCGTTCCGATTTCCACAAGCGCTTCATGGTATGTACCTGTATTTGCTATTATTCTTATACATTCACTGACCAGGATTTCAGGGCAAATATGTGCGTTAGAATTTTCTTAGAGACTTGAGTAACGGCATGTTCAAGAGGTATTTCAGCTTAGCGAATGGGTATTATCTTATGTTATTTTTTAACGTCGTATCAAAAAGAGCATTATAAACTATCAATGATTTTACCACAAAGCAATGCTCCCTATAAAAAAATACCCACAACACTAGTTTCGACCTTATATCTTCTACGATAACATTGGCTAGATTTGCCCTGTGGAGTTGGGCTGTATTGTAAAGTAGTATGCACTCTGCGAGGGTGCACTCTTCCAAACGGTACTCCATGTACGGAGTATGGGTTTAAGAGTACTGTGTATGTGCCAGTTAGGGCAGCTCAGGTAAGAAGCGGGTATCCCATATGTGCATTAGCCTGCATTAGCCCTGTTGTCAGGATCGAGGGTCTAAGTTGAAGGGGAATACGGAGTAGGTAAGGGGGACCGTGTAATTTACAAAGTGATAATTTGGGTGTTTGAGATGACAAATGTATATAAAAAAGCTCCCGGCCACACAGTTGCATAGGCAGCTCGACATCTATTTCTTAGGTCGCCAGAACCCTGGCTGGCTCTCCTTATCCCAATAAATGTCAAGCATCAGAGGTGGCCGAAGATAGAAGTCATGCCAGAGATTTAGATGAGCCCACTCAAACCGGTTATACGTCTCCGCATACTGAAATATAGACATGTACATCCATCCTACAATATCTTCTCCATCATCCGTCTCCCCATCATGCCATTCAGGATGAATGTTGTACTTCCTCTCTTCAGGAGTCAAATTCCCCCATTGCTTGTACAATATTTTAACAGCCGGGTCATGCATATGATCTAATGACTCCAAGCAGATGTCGTCCACGAAAAGGGCAAAGTTAAATCGTGCCCCGAAAGTGCATTCTAGACCGGGAATGGGCTTATCCTCGCACTACTTTACCAGGCTCTGCAGAGTTTCAGGCGTGTTAACCACCTGCGGTAACTGCTCCGCTACCAGATATTGAAGTGATCGCGCATCTCATGCGAGGTCGCGCCATCGAACTAACTTCTCCGGATCATCATGGATCATGAGCTGATGACTCTCTAGCAGGTCGGTTTCTTCACCTCGAAACTCCAATTCGATAGTTTGTTGGACGTTTTCCCGAATTCGCTGGAGTATTTCATTCCACGCTCTGTCGTCCTTGTAAGTGCATTCATAGATGGAGAACCCCCATGGGAGATTGGGCTTCTTGAGATAGATGTCAGAGCGCGACATACGGACCCCTTCAAAGGGGTAATCTTCCGATGATGGGCCTATAATTGACACCTTGCGCGTTATTTAATGGGCATGAAGGCGGATGGGATTGCTGAGGATTCGTGGTAGAGAACGCATCACTACCGGAAATACTATACTAAAATTCCAAATTGCATGGAGATAAATTGGGGGCCAACAACGCGATTTTAAGTATTTTTTTATATCATTCCTATCACATGACTGCGATCCATGTCTTAAATTCCCAGCATGGATGCCTTTCTTGGGGAAAACGGCACTGTTAATGAGTTGGATAGCACTGGAGGATCAAACATCGTACGGAGACTCATCAGCCGATTTCCTCCCGCTAGGGAAAGCTCGGTACGAATAGTTGCACATTTATGTTCCAGGATGCTTTATATAATTGCTCACTGTTATCTTATAAATAGAAAACCTAAACCAAGTTTCTTCTTATACCGACCCCAACAACCCGATCTGTGACCTAAGCAGCTCATTTCGGTGCGTCAACCCATGAGGGGAACACCATTGGAAGAAGCTCCGGGGTCTGATCCGGCCAATTGGCCTGGATTACCTTCATAAGTTCATCGTAGACGATGCGGTTACCAGCGGGAGTCAGATGCAGACCTGTATAACGAGTGAGTACAAGAGAAAAGAAAGTGGAATATGGACATTTCCACGCACCATCAGTGAGAAAACTAGCTAGTATGTCATTACTCGGCACATCGCGAGCCCCAATCAGAGGTTCTCCCTCCTTCCAGCCAGTGGGCTTCATGAA